TACACACACACACACACACAAAATCATTCTCAAAAAGTAACAAAAATAATTATTCCTTTAGAATATCATTTATCTTGTAGGACTTGCATGAAAATTTTACATCATATTTGACTTTGTTCAACGATTTATGTTCATTCTAGTCAAATTTATATCAATGGTTTATACATCAAAATTTCATTTCTTCAAGATGAATCAAAACCTCATGAAACCAAATCAGTCGGTCAAATATGAAACTGAGCTTCTTCCTGCTGCTTTTGAAACTCTCTTAGCCACCATTAAACTTCGTCGATGTAAAACATCATCCCACCTTCCTGCTTCGGCAAAAATGTTACAGGAAATGATGTGATCTTCAGGACCATGCAACGTCTGTAGTTCTATGAGCCCACTCACCAACCTTAACCCCATGTCGAAACTGCCATGGACCTTACAGGCATGAATTAACATCCTCCAAACAACTGCATTTGGCTGAACGGGCATCTTTTTAACAAATTCATAGGCCTCTTCTATCATTCCAGCTCGTGCATGCATATCGACCATGCATCCACAGTGCTCAATTTTGGGCCCAATACGATACACCTTGTGCATGATATCATACAAGTTCCGGCCATCATCGACCAAGCCACAATGGTCACATGCTGACAGAACCCCAATGAAAGTAACCGAGTTTGGCTCAATTTTCTCAGCACACATTTGACGAAAAGCAACAAGAGCTTCCTCTCCTTCACCATTGATGGCACTGCCCACAATGATTGATGTCCATGAGATAACATCCCTTCTGGTCATCTTACCGAACAAAGCTCTAGCTTTGGTCATACTCCCACATTTCGCATACATGTCTATAAGAGCATTGCACAAGACGATACTCCCATTAAGATGATCACCGCTCTCTATATAAGAATGAATGTTAATGCCATGATACAGATCGCCAGAGTCCCGACAAGCTGAGATCAATCCCAGCATGGTTACTTCATCTGCTTTTAGGTTTCTAGACTCGATCTCGTTAAAGAGCCTTAAGGCATCATTATTAGCCCCACATCCAACATACCCGTGTATCATGGAGTTCCAAGATGCAATATTTCCCTCCTGTAGTCTTTCAAATACTTTCCGAGCAAACTCTAGCGATCCACATTTAGAATACATGTTGATCAATGCAGTTTGAACAGAGACATCAGTCTCCGTCCCACTTCTTTTTATGTAACCATGAACCACCTTCCCCATATCAAGATCTCTACCACTAGTCGCCGCCAAAATCAAGCTAATGAGGGACACCCTATCAAAACCTATATTTCTCATTCTCATCTCTCTAAACAAGGCAAATGCTTTCCTACTATCATTATTCCTAGCACACCCCACCATCATCGTATTCCACGAAACCAAATCTCTCTCGGGTGCTTCATTAAAAACTCTTTCTGCATCACCCAGATATCCAAATTTTGTATACATATCAATAAGCGCATTATAAATCTCATTTCTTGAATCCAATCCCACCTTGCAACAATATGAATGAAGCAAATGTCCAAGACTAATGAATCCACAAAGTTCAGCACAACCAGATATCAATACCATCAAAGTAACATAATTTGGCTTCACAGTCAAACCAAAATCACCCGCCAAAACTCGAATAAACAAACTCAAACCCGTATCGAAAAGCCCATTTTTCACATACACAGAAATCATACAGTTAATGGTAACAATTGTTCTATCAGGAATTTTATCAAACAGTGTACATGCATGCCCGACCAAATTCGCCGAATTCTAATAGAAATGAACAAGACTGTTCAATATATGTACATTATAATCCAAACCAAGCCTAAGAACATGGCAATGTATAGATTTACCTTCACGAATGGCCTGCATTTTGCTACAAGATTTGATCAGTGAAGCATATATGAAAGGGTCAGGTGAGATAAAGGGTGTTGATACACACGACATTTCTCTGAACAAATTGATTGCTTGTGAAGGTTCTGAGTCTGATGCGTATCTGCGGATCATCAAACGCCATTTGGGACTATTGGGTTCTTGGATGAGGTCGAAAACGGCGGTGGCGTGGGGCAGAGTTGAAGGGTTTGATAGGTAAAGCTGGAGGAGTGAGAGAAGAGAGAAGGGGTGAGAATGGAGGCCAGTGGTGATGAGTTGGGCGTGGATCTGAAGAAGGTTTTGAGCAGAGAAGAGTTGTGTTCTTTGGTGGAGTTGTGCTAATCTCTGAATTTGAACAGAGTGACTCGTGAAAATGCACACTGGTTGATTGTCTTGGGCTTACGACATGGTGAAAAATGATTAATTCAAATCCATTCCAAGTACAGGGGGAGTGAGTCCAAGCTGAAAGACGCTGAAACTGAATTAAAAGATGATCTTAAATTCTTAATTCAGAATTTATTTATTTATTTATTATATATATTTAACTTCATCAGTTTTGAGACGTGCCTTTTGTTTTCACATGGCTGAAAATAAAAATAAAAACAAAAAGTTTATATAAAAAGAAATTAAAAAATAAATTGTTCGACTGTCAGTTTATATATTTTCTAACTTCTATTTTCAGAAAATCAAACTAAATCCACCTCAATTAAGACTATATCCGGTTACAATCAAGTAGATTAAAATATTCAGATATGGAAGGGGTTAGGGGTGGCAATTTCTTTGGATCCGGTGCGTTTCCGCCCCGCCCTTGCCCTAAGGTGGATTTAGTGGCCCCTAAACCAAAGCGGGTTTGGGGCGAGGACGAATTTAGTGATAACCTCTCTCCGACCTAACCCTGAGACTATATATTCTTTTTATTTTATTTTATTTATCTAAAATATATATTTTATATTTTTAAGAATCTTGTTACTCTATTAGAAGTGTCTATTAATATATTAATATTTATTACTTAGTAATTTAAATGTTGGGTCAACTTTTTTATCAGCCTAATTTGAGCACAATGGACTAGTTTTTTTTTTTTTAATTGCATAATAAAAGTGGCCTTACCCGGCTCACCCGCCGCACCTAGCAATTAAATGGAGTACATGGGGCAGAGTCGGTATTTTATTTACCGAAGTAGGGGCGAAAATGGTATAACAATTACGGGTCCGTTCCGGAATAGGTGTGGAGTTGGTATGATAAATTTTTTAACGGGCGGGGTAGGATTTAGCCAAACCCGCCCCAATTTCGCCCCATTGCCATCCCTGGAGGGGATATATGACCTTAAAGGGGTGAATAAGTCAGATCTCAAATTTTGACTTATTCTGTTTTTAACGATTATGGTTAATAGAAAACGGTAAAAGTGTGATTGAGCAAAAGTGCCAAATTTTAGGGGAGGTGAAAATAATAAACCACCATCACTCTATCTGTGTGAGATTTGTTCAACCCTAAGAGAGATCAGTGTAATTAATCCTATTTTTTTAATTAAATTATTATTAAATTAGAAAAAGGTAAATTTTAGAAAAAGCTAATATAATTTACCCAAAAAAACACATAAAAAGGACCGGGTAAGAAAATAAAAAAATAAAATAAAATTTGAGACACAAAGTTGGGATTATATTACTATAGGGGTAAGTGCAGAAAACACCTCTCAAGTATACTTTGTGAAGCAAATTTACCCTCTATTTGAAAAAGTGTGCAATAAACATCCCTAATCTTTTAAAATTGTACAAAATTACCCCTATGTCAAAAATCTAATATAAATTATTGTTATAATACCCATTTTGCCCTTTTAATCTTCCAAAAATACCCATTAAGCTGTGTCATTTTACAATTTAGCCTTTAATTATATATTAATGTTTATAAACAAATTGTATGCTAAGGGGAAGGCGTTGTTTCCGGTGGTTGTTGGCGACGATGATAACGAAGGTGTAGTAGGTGTCGGAATGTGCAGAGATCGGTGACCAGTTATGCGGCCACGGCTCTCTCATCTCAAGTCGCCACTTTGCATTCGCTTCATCCCGAGTTCAACTCGAACGAGTCAGCCATCTTCAAATCGACCGATCTCTTCATCAACGGCGGATAAAACAAAGGCTACCCCTGTTAACGAGCCAAAGAAGAAGGCCGGAGGGGCGAGGTTGTGGATGCGGTTCGACCGATTCTCTCTAAGTTGTCGACTGATCTCCTCCATGGTGGCGGCAGGAGGGTCGACCAAGCCGAAGAAGAAGGCCAAACGTAAAACGCAACAACCTCAATTTCGACAACGAAGTAGCAAACTCCGATGAACTGAACTCTGTAATTTTCAGCCAACAACAAATAGCAATGAAATTTCACCTCTGCAACTTCCGGCGAACAAAACCATAGCAAACCAAACCCAAAGGGCGATTTATTAAGGTGAGAGGGGAGACGGAGAGGGGGTTGCCGGCCCAACACACAATTCTGTGGAATGGTGTGGGTGGTGGCGGTAAGGAAGAAAAGAAGTAAGGGCCACTAGCAGGCTTCACCTTCGGATACCCCCACGAAGCGGCGCCACCGCCCTCTGCTTACCACCACCAATTTCATACCCATGGTCGCCACTCTTTCCTTTACCATCTCATCGTCGCCGTCCTCATAATTGGAGTCATCTTCTTCATCATCTAGTTCGTCCTCCGCCCCCGCCTCCCTGAGTTCACAGTCCTCCGCCACTGTCTCCCCCATCAACGCCACAGCAGGTCACCGCCACCTAGGACATCTCTATTCTGATTAAAAAAAACCCTAACACAGAATTGCATAATGGGTGTGCAAGACGTGCACTATTTAGGGTCCTTTTGGTATTTTTACAAAATTTTGTATTTTTATATATTTTATAAAATTGTTAACTAAGGGTATTTTAGTTAAGTTTGGTTTTAAATGTGACAGAGGGACTTGATTGCACCAAATTGAAACTTGAGGGGTTTTTTTTGCACAAGAAGGGTGTAATATGCACTACATACATATTTAAGGAGTGTTTTCTGCACTTGACCCTGTATAGGAGTAATACTTACATTTTAAATGCAATCCATCTTTTATTTATTATTATTTTTAAATAAACCCTAATAAAAAAACTCAAGAACTCCTGTAGCCAAACACTCAAGGGGCCTGTAGACTGTTATCCCTGGGCAAGTTTATCTAATATCTTCGTTTTTTCCATCATCTTCGTCATCTGTTTTGGTGTGTGTGTGAGAGAGAGAGAGAGAGTTGAGGATGAAGAAAGAATTGCTATCTTCGGCACCATGGAGGGGCGAAGAGAATGATTTCGAAGGTGCGAAGCTGAGAGTGAAGAGCGAGCCCGGGACTACACCTACCATGTATGTCCCTGGCAAGAAGAAGACTTCTTCCAGTAAGGACGACGACAAGGATTCCCTTGCTGAGATAGACCCTGAGCTCCGCTACAGTTTCCAACGCAATTTCCAGGTTCCAATTCCTTTTCCCATCTTTATTTTCGACCTTTTAGGCTTTTATGCATCTTCATTTTATTATAATTAGAATTTCAAGCTACAATTAACCATTGATGCAACAAATTTTCAAATTTGTACCATCTTTTTTTATTTATTTTTTATTTTAATGGTGCTTGAAAATCCATGTTATCTTCAGTAATGTCATTTTCTATGATTTAGGGTTCTTATCTGTATATATATATATATTTCTGTGTAATGTGGAAAATTTTATAGATGTAAATAATAGTGTACATATAACATATTAAAGGCATACCCTCCAATCGAGAAGAGAAGATATTTGGTGAGCCAGGCATGCCACATCATTAGTATGCCTGGCCAATGGGAATACATCATTCTATGAATGTGGTCCCACTTACTTTTGAAAACTGCTCTTAACTAACGAGGAGTTACTGCAACGTCCCGGGACCGTTAGTCCCAGGCCAATCACCATTCTACATGTAAGTGATTGTGTCGAAAATGTGTAAGCTTTATTTAACTTTTCGGTTACGTGTTCAATGGTGATTGGTCTGGACCATCTAAAAAATTCTCCTCAACTAACTGCTGTATTGATTTTCATTGGCCGGGCATACCAATGACGTGGCAAAATACGAAGTCCAATACAAGTCACGTGACCTCAACTACTAGCAGCAGCAAATATAGAATTCAAGTGTATCATGAATAGACATGCTAGCTAACTTTAAAACTTTCCTACTAAACAAATTTAGCAACACCCACAGGAGATCTGGACTATTTTGGTGAAGTCGTATTCCTTCCTCTATGAGGTATGGCTTCATAAAGAGAGCATTTTGAAGTGGTGACCTCATTGGTGGAAAATTCCCAGTGGGTTACTGCTCTGAGGGAGATTGGGTCTATCAAGAGATGATCTCATTAGTGGAAAAGTTTTGGGATAGAGCCCCCTTTGTGATGTTGACCTTTTTGGTTTGAGCTATTAGGTTGACTGTTTGAGAGAGATTTGGGCGTAACAGGTCACTTAAAAAGTCCTTTTTAATTTTGAGTGCTGAAATTTGGAACGAAAAATAAAGTTTAATTGGTGAATGCTTAAATGACTTGACTATTCTCGAGGAAGATGGCACTTGTTGACAAATTGTTGTTCTTCTTGCAATGGTTCATAGGTAGACATGCTTTCAGTGTTTTTATTATTATTTCTTTCCATTTGCAGGTTCTTTCTTATTATCTGGTTTGATCGTCCCTAATCTATTTTTTTACTTGATTATGTTAAACCAGCATCTCCCAATCATTTCATAATTTCCATTTAGAGGTTGAGGAATGTAAGTTGTTGAATATTTGATAATGCTTGATTATAGGGATGCACGCATGCATGCACACACACGCATACAATTAAAGACGCAGGAAACATTTTGTCTTGGCATAATGAATTGCGTCTGGTGTTTATTCTTTTGGTATTGATGAGCTCTTTCTTAAATCACTGTCAATGATTATTCTGCAAGTTTTTTCATTATTCAGTTTTGTCTCCTCGGTTTTTATCGTAGTTGTCAAGAAACTTATTTTGACGGTGGAAATACATTTGCCCTTGGTATTCATTTTAGAAGTTAGGACGAAGCTTCCATGAACTCTGAAATATTTCAGAAAATGTAACAAGAAATGCACTTCTCATAGTTTTCCATTTTTCTATGCTCTTGGAGCATTTTTTAAGGTCAATGATAATGCATAACTTTTCATAGTCCCGCTTAAGCATTCTTAATCTTATTATAGTAGGCTTTACAAGTTTTCTTATATTTCAAATTCTTGCATTGAAATTTCTCAAGAAGTTCCATAATGAGCTTCATATTCAATTCCATATCACTTCTCATTTCCTATTTCCCATTTCCAGTGGTATTTCCCACACCATGTGTTTCCTTCGCCATTCCCATCTCCGCTTCTCATGTTGTCCCCTATGATTTATCATGTGATTTGCATTTGAAAGATGTATATTTTGCATCCTTTATTGTTTTTCATACTTTGAGAATATGATATAGATTTGTTAGTCTTCTCTATTTGGGGGAAGCTAGGAAATGATTCTTCATCATTATCATCGTCCTAGTCAAAATTTGATTCGAATGGGGTTAGCCACATGAATTTTCTTCTTCAACTCTTTTTTGTTACTGTCTCATACTATATGTAATTTCTTTAGGCATTTTCTTCTTAATTTATCCCATGTTAGTTTTGATATGTCTCTTGTCTCTTACCGTATATCTTTTAACTATTATTGATTTTCCTTTTGGTGAATCTGTTGGTCTATGTTGTACCATCTAATCCAGCTTTTCTGATTTTATTGCAGAGACTCCTAATTACTCTAACGTGTTGATTATTAGTCATGTCTCTTTTAGTTAATCCTATTACCCATCACAGCATTCTCATTTCAGAAACATGGATGGGGTTGGTTTTGTTTCTTTTTTAATACCTAGCATTTTACCAAGCCATGAAAATGTTAAATCTTGTAGCTAATGAAGATAAGGTTGGTTTTGTGTCAAGACCATGTTGATACCAATGTGGCCTAGTGGAAGAGCAAGAGTTATCTTGAAAAGTGTTTTGGAGTAAAAGACTTTTGTATAAAGTACTTGTAATATTCTCGAACACTTGTAAATAACAAAGAGGCATTTACAACTTTAACCCTGTCATATGATCAGTGCTCTAAGAATCGATAAGCCATGTATCGAAAGGTGGAAACTGTTGTTAGGGGCTTATTTGTTATTACTTATATAATGTTGGGGCTTATGTGTAATTTCTGAAACTTATTATTATAAATATAATGTGGTGGAAGGATGAAAGTATTCTTTCTCTCTCTCTTTCCCCATCTCTCTCTCTTTTTCTCTCATCCTCTTTCTTCTCTTTTTCTTCTTCTTATACTTTACTTTTTCATTTGATTATCTCTTAAAGTCAACAGAAACACATTATAAGCACTTACAAAATTACTTCACGTGTCTGCTGCTCATTTGCCGTAAGAGTGGTTGTATTCCCACTGGCAGGCCAAGATATAGCCTCTGTGACCTTCAACATATGAGCATGTGACCTTGTTGTGCCAGATTGACCACCATCTTGTCCTCTAGTGGGACGTCTATGGAGTTTCCAACAATGATCCCTAGTGTGCCTTGTCTTCTCATAGAAATCAGACTTCAATTGGTCCTTTAGAGTGCCCATTCTTACCATCAACACGAGGTTGTCCTTATTGCTGAACTCTCTGTGGAATAGAAGCTAAGGCAGCTGAGTCATAGTATGAATCACAACACTCCAACAATTTCCTTGTACCGGCCTAATGCATAAGCCTGCCTCAAAGATGGGAAGGGATCCCTACCAAGCACTTGAACACGAATCTGGTCATACTTCATGTCATACCCAACTAAGAAATCATACACATTCATTGTCTGGTAATTTTTAAAATTTGGCACAATCTGCCTGCAAAACCTGATTATAGTTCAACTCTTACCTTAGTCTGCTGATCTCTGTGTAATACTATGCAATAGACGTATCTCCTTGGTTGGTCTTATGAACCTTCTTCTTTAATTTATAGACCTGTACATCATTCCCTATTTGAGAATAGGTCTGTGCCACAACAATCCGAATAGCGTGGGTGGAATCAAGAAGAAGATAGTCACGATTCAAGATTGATATGCTGTTGCATGGAGTGAAGTAGCCAAGACATGACCAAAGAATTTTCAGACATGCATTGATCATAAAAGAGGTTTGATGGTTGCAAGCAACGAGCCTTGACTAATAGCAAACAAAACCTACACCAAGCTAATTAATTGGTTCCATCAAATTTCACGGGGTTAATTTGAAGGGAGTGGTTATCTCCAAGAGTCCCTAAAGGACTAAATCCACCTCCACAACTATTGGTAGAAAGTGCACTATCTCCAACATGTCTACACAGTAAGACAATTCATACCCAAAAGTGAAAAGCTGATACCAAGTTGGTATACAATAATTAATCACGTTTTAAGTTTTGGATGATTGGAGCTTGAAGAAAGAATGAGAGAGAAAAAGATGGAAAGAAGGGTTGTAGAGTAAATCTGACATCTCTTTATTAATTTTTTCGTGTATATATCTATGTTCTTTTAGAGATGCAGAGAATAAGATAATAGGGAAATTCTTTCAGTCTTTTCGAGGTAGAAAGTAAAAATTTGAATTCATTTCATTTCATGAAGGGACATTTGTGTCATAAAAGAATGGCACTCTTTGTAATATCATTGCATTTTAAGGCTATTAACATCTTTGACGGATCCAATGGTAAGTTGACGGGAGGAGAGTCGTCGAGCACACGTGCCAAATCTCAGGTGAGTACGGTGTAATAAACACCAAACTTGGTTAGTGTGTGTAATTAGGCCAACCTCAGGGGAGGTTATTGTATTTTATCCTAACATCTTTTGTGGTTTGTGCTTTGTACTTTGTGAATGAATTTATATGCTCACCTTCTCTTTTAAATTTGTTTAGTGCCTCGTGAATTATTCATACAATGTTAAAATATTCGGTTTGGTGATGAAAAAGAAGTTTGAATGCAAGTTTGAACTATATTTTTAGGTTCATTGTGATATTTGTGAGTATAAGGATTTTGTTCCTCTATAGAAATGTGTCAATGCTCTTTTTCCCATTCAGTCAATACTTTTCAATTTCATTCTGCTTGAAATTATGCGGCAATCTCTACTTGGCTGTTGGTTCTCTGACTGTATGTCTTTTAATTTGTTTTAATCTGGTTTTGCATGTAAGGTGTGTTCTTAGTTTGATTAAAAGATGAAATTATGTCATTTAAGCATGTAATTCTGTCATTCACTGCAGTTTCTTCAACGAGTGTTCAGCATTGACACAATTGTGAAACCTCTTCCTCCTGCTATGGCATATAACGCCTCCCGCAACTTGAATTTCTTCACCCGTATCTTCACACAGTTCTTCGGTAAGTTTTTTTTACTAGGCTTATGTTGTGATGCCACTAGTAAGGAGTATAGAAATGGCAATATGGCCTCAAAGTTTCTTTCTTTTTTTCCTTTTCTTTTTTGGGTAAATATTCCTTTCTTTTTTCTTTTTTCGGTCTGTTTTTGTGCAATTTAATGCTTTTGCCATGGATTCAATTTTTGCTCTTAATTTCTGTCTGTTATTCTCAGTCTTTATCCAATAGTTTTTCTTTAATTTCAACATTCTCCAGGAAAAGCTGATGATGATTGGGTTTATGGGGCATTAGAGGGATGAGTTGTGTAGTTCTACCATCCCCCGCTCCCAAATTCCTCCACTTGAAAAAATAATAAATAAAATAAAGAACATTTTACTTTTCTGTTGGTGGGGGGAAGTAAACCTAAAGAATTCAGAAGAGAGGGAAGGGAGATGGTTTTGAACGTTATAACATTGAATGGAGATGTGCTTGATAATGCATAGTAGTATTACAGCTGACCACATTAAAACTTCATCTTTACTTGGTGTCGTACTGCTTGTTTGCATCACGAATTTGGTTGCATTTTCTCCTCTTTGTTGTCTCATTTCGGCTTACTGTGCTCTTTTGGGGCAGATCCTGATGGTATCTCAAATGCACAAAAATCTCTTGGATTGGGACAAGAAGAGAAAGTTCGTCGTGTACGCTGAACAACTATGATTTTACATGTCAAACGTTTCTTTTATTTGTATTTAAATTTAGTAGCGTGTTTCGAAACTTGAGCAGTAATTGCTATACAATTGTCCGATTTGCTAAGAAATTTGTAGATTCCCATATTTATGGTGTCCGGTTTCCGCTACATTTGCTATGAATGTCCTCATTTCGTTTGTCTTTGATGAACCATGTTCTCTCGTTCAGGAGTTCCTTCAAAGGTACTCACTCAAGTAACTGTTAGTTTCAATGTCTTGGTATTCCTTCCTATAGTCTATTATGATATGTGCCTGTCATGTATTTGTTGATCCTGTGCAGTTCTAATCAATGATGTAATATAGTACATCTTAGATGCAACACCAATAAAAATATTCATGTAACACATTTATTTCGATGATGCAATACCCGTGTTAAATATTACATTGAGACGTAACATTGCTATACCACTAAATCGAGGATGTAACACTGCAACACCTTAATGTCTTCGTTGCATCCTTGATTGAGTGTTGTATCCTGATTTAATGTTGTTAGATATGTGTTCCATTTTCGATAACTAATGATAGATGTTAAATTACTCGACCTTATTTATACACATCTTATTTTCTCTGAACTGATGCCCACTTGGGTGTTTTCATTAACAAAACTTTCAATCAGAAAGACTAGAGAAAAAGTATGGGGCACTATTACCCATTCCTCAGCGGCCTATTTGGTAAGGTGTTTAGCTTTCGAATGGGTGTGTTCTTAGTTGGCAGTGTTCAACTCCCCAAATAGGCGTGTTCGTGTTCGAGTCCCTCCTTTTTTAGTTTGTCGGAATGGATTTGGTTAACTTTAATGTTTGTTGAAGGTGATTTATAACTTTCAAGATTAGTGCTATTTCAGGTGGAATGTCATTTCATCAAATTTTCACTTTGCTAGATTACAGGATTTGGGAAGTGGAATGACATTTTGATTATAAATAACACAAACATGTTATCCCATTCTTGGCATGAGCTACATTTATGAGTTCCAACTTGTAAGTTCAGTAAAATGGAAATGCGTTGAAAACAACAATCTGGTACAAAATAATGGTATTTACACCAGCGTTTCGAGTAGCTAAGAGCATTCTTATGGTGTTTATATTGGATATCGATACTCGTGTCCAATATTCTTTATTTATAATTTTAAAATATATTTTAATTTCTAACATTTATATGATACTTCTCAGATACTTTGACTACCATTTGATACTTTGCTTCTCAGATTCGCAGTATTTCGAATCATGAATGTGACATTTCTCTGATACTTTAAAATAGGTTTTAAACAAGTTTTGAAACTTAAAATGTATCTTTTCTTACAATAATATAATAGTATAATTGTTGAGAAAAATTCAAAATATATTAAGTGATTACTGAGATGCTTATTTTATTTTATGTTTTGTGAGACGAACTTCAGTATTATATTAAAGAAAAATTAATTATATATATATATAGGTATAATTTATTTTAATTATATATATATAGGTATAATTTATTTATTTTATTGATATCCCACCTGCACCTGTATCTTATTTTTTTAAGATTTGCCATCCAAACAAATAAATGAAAAAGAAACTTCCAAGAAAGGTCTTATATTCATACCACGAAAAAGAAAAATTCCAGTTTTGCAATTTCAGAACCTTTGATGTTATACATCTTTTATATATAAATGATTATATGGTCCTATTGTATTTCTTTCTCATAATTGTTCATTAATTCGGTATGGTGCAAGTAGAGTTGGGTTATCTAATGAGAAAATTTTAATTGGATCGATTATAGTGATGTGTCATCAGCTTATTAAATAATGCGAACCCATTAAAGCAAAGTACTTTTTCTTACATGACATGATATAATTGGTTGATGGCACAAATAACAAAGTATTAAAGGTGCAGAAAAGTTTTTCTATTGAACAATACTTAAGTTCTCCCTAGTCAGAATTTACACCATGTGAAGTCGCAAACCAAATATTGTTCTTTTCCAGTTATCTTATAATCAATAAAAATGGAGTTGACCTTGACTTCAATAAACACTTCTGGTAATAAAGGTAAAATAGTTAATTTGAGGTTAGAGTTCCGCAAATAATTAATAGGGAAATAGCCTCACTTGAATCTTTCTATAACCAAGTATATAACAATATTATATGGTAAGGGTGGATTTAATAATAATTTGTTTGTGGACGTGACATCGGATCAAGGACTGAGTCATACCAATTATAATAGATGTGTGTTTACCTATTTATTAAAAAAAACTTAAGTTGTTAGATAGTGTTGTATACCCACCTATTTACACTTCAACTTTTATCCAAATTTAATGTGAAACAAGTCCCATTTGTAACAATATACCACTAGACTAGAGCCTTTTAACAGTAACATCAAAAGCTTCATAGTATGTAAGCTTCATATATACTTGGAAGTCTTGCTACTTACATTATATATTTGTATATATAATATTGCATATTGAAAATTAAGAATGATGGGAATGTTTATATTTACAAACACAACCCGGTTAGCTAAATTAAGTAGTATAAGAAATTGAAGGTAGGAATAGGGAGTCAGAAAAGTATGTGAATGGTGGCGGCTTTTAACCAAAAAAAAAAAAAAAAGAAGTTGTAGGGGCAATAGTAAATTTTTTTCTATAATTTCAGGGGGGAAATTTTCAATTTTATAAGTATATAAATCAAAAAAATAAAATTAGTAGGTATAAAGTACAAAAATAAAAAATTTCAGTGGGAGCACCCACAGTGGACCTTCATTGAATCCGTACCTGGGTAGGAAGGCATATGAATGCCATGGATTAGGAGTGTACAAAAAGTCGTTAAAACCAGTAAACCGATACGAACCAAATCAAACCGGAACTTTGGTCCGGTTCCTTAATGGTTCTGTTTCGATTTGAGTTCCATAATTAAAGAGTCGTTATATTACAACAACGTTCCAGTTCTAAATTCTTTAGGAATGAATCGAACCATCACTAATTATATATATATAAATATATAACTTATTATACACTATTTTTTATTACTTATAATTATTCATACCAATTCAAGTTTCAAGGCATTATACAATCTTTTTATATTACATATTATGCAACAAAGTTTCAAAAAATGGTGTTTCATGTTGCTTTGTTTGAGAATTACTATATGATTATATAACGGCCAAGTGTTGTACAAAGTTTATCCTTTTATTTGCTAGGTATCATTTTTTTTAATTTTTTTTTTAACAGGAAATTTAACCCATCCAATTCAGCCCCAAATTATAATAGAAATCCCTTGACTAGGTATGTTGATCTCCCAAATACTCTTTCAAAAGGTAGGTATTGATGCATGTAATCCGCAACATACCTTTTTTTGCTTTGATGATATCTAAAGATGTTTCGTGATTGCAACCCTATTCCAAACTTGAAGATTAAGCAATCTAAGACCTCCAATGTTGGGACCTCCAAACTTGAAGATGTTTCATGAATGCTACAATAATGTTACATAGGACAACATATATACAAGATCATGGTTAAATAACACATCCATAGGAATTGTTGGAATTAACAATTCTTTCAACAATATAACAATTAGAATGAGCATGAATAATACACCAATAAATATTACATCAATACAAATCACATTACTTTTATTAAAATGACAATATATCATTTTGAACAAAATAGATATAACGATGAGTTTGGAATTTAAACAACACAAATAATTTAAGAATATAATATTAACTCAATTGCATAAATTAAAGAAAAATGATAATAATAAGTCAAAAGGAAAGAACTGGCCAGGATATTGAGAGGCATGCGAGTACTGTCCTAAAATCGTATAATCTCTCTACGTGCAGGTGATAACGATCTAATTAATTTCTAAGATACAACCTATTGAGCAACTTTTGTGCCATTGGGATAGATATCAACAATTTGTCTACCTTGTATAAAAGTAGAATGAGATGGGCTAATAATGGATGGTAGTGCAGGTTTGAGTTTATTGGCAAGACGTTTTGAAATACATTTGTACAAGGCAGAGCAACATGAAATAGATTTGAATTCATTAAACTTGGAGGGGTTAGGGACTTTAGGAATTAGAGAGATACAGGTTGAATTAGCATCTTTACGTAGCTTCCTAGTGATGAAGAACTCCTTAATAGCAAGTGTGTTATCATGACCTATTAAAGGCCAAGCTTTCTTGTAGAAGACAGGATTTAAACCCATTAGGTTCAGGACCGGTTCTATATATTTGAAAACTAAAAGAACCGCGACCGAACCGAACTGGTCTTTTACGGTTCGGTTCTATGTGCCAACGGTTCTGATTTCGATTCTAATTTTTATGAAATTGTAGTGAACGATTCGATTTCAAATCAGTCTAAAATTGAACTAGACCAAATCGAACAGAACCGTAGCACCCCCTACTATGAAAGTAAAGGTATATTAGAGTATGCATGGAGCCATTCAGTAAATACCAAATGAGATCTATAATAAAGGGCAAAAAAAAAAAAAAAAAAGGAAGCAATTTCAAGGTCTCAGATTGCTCTAATGAATGTATAGTTACTGAATGGAGTCTTTGAAAAATTCCAGGAGATTTGACATTCTACAATATATTCTATGCTCCAAAATATCTACTGAGAGTTTTGTATCTTCTACTAAGGTGATTTTACTCACTAAAGCATTTTCCTTGGATTTATTTATTTATTTATAATTAAAATCTGGTTTATGACCACACAAAGATGCATAACAAGTACAAACAATAACTTAAAATGTACATGTGTATATGCATTTATACATTGAGGTATTACTTGGTATAATAATAAAACTTCTGACTGTCAAGCATGAGGGTGCCACTTGAGTCAGAAATTATTCATTGCAACAGTTGTAATGAAGACGTGGTGTAAAGTGAACCTACAATAAAATCAAAAAAATAATTGTGTTTTGACAGGGTGTTTGTGCTCGTTCGTTGCACCGCGTTAGCGTTGTAACAATTGCAATGAACCTCTTGATATATACAAGGTAAAAGCTCTATTTTTTTTCATAGTGTTTAAAATTTGAAAATTAATATAACAATTGCAATAAAGGGCGTTTTCGCCAATGTCTTGTGTACTTAACAGCCCCTTAACATTCACAAAAGAGACTGATAATTTGGACATGAAGTTACCATAATGGTTTTCTTGGGCCTACGATTTATTTTCTTCAATATATTTGGACCCTATTGGGCTTTTGCACCACAAGAGGGCCATTTTGGAATAATTTTCCTGGTACTTGTATGTCCCAACTCCCAAGTCATCAAATTAACATTTCATTTTGTACTCATTTTTCTGTTTCAACATGACTCAAATGACTATTATACCCTCGACTGAAAAATGTCATTTATTTATTGGGTTATTCGGTACAGCCACGTAGCTGGGCCGTAGCAGCAGATTTTATACTCTCAAAACCCTAACTTGTTTGTCCTTTATCGCTCCGAAAACCCTAACACCTTTTATATCCACTTCCCTCTCACAACACTCTCGCTTCTCTCTCTCTCTCTCTCTCTAGGGTTTTGGAGTCACACAAACAAGAGATTGTTAGGTTCGTTCGAAGGCTGCGAAGATGGTGGCAGACAAGGGCAAGAAGCTGAAGGTTGGCGAGAAAGGCGATGAGGAAAACGCAGAGCACATTGATGGAGAACTCGTACTCTCTATCGAAAAGTTGCAGGAGATCCAAGACGAGCTGGAGAAAGTACTCTCTCTTCCTTTACATTTAATTTCCTTTTGACCTTTGTTTGGTTTTCGAGAAAACTAAAAGAAATTGAAGTACGAAATTTTGGAACCTTTTTTCTTTTTCTCTTTTTCTTGTGCAAGAAAATGAAACTTTACTTCATTGAAGCCATTTATTTGTAATGGGTTTTGTTTATTTGTAATAACCTTTGTTTGGCTTTCGAGAAAACTAAAAGAATTTGAAGTACGAAATTTGGGAACCTTTTTTCTTTTTCTCTTTTGCTTGGGCAAGAAAATGAAACTTTACTTCACTGAAGCCATTTATTTGTAATGGGTTTGTTTATTTGACGCTGCAACGAAACAGGGCGTTGCTGTTTTTGTTTCAGCTTATCAATTTGTGTTTTCTTTCACGGAAAAATATTATTTCCATATTTTCTATGTATTTAAGATGTTTCTCTAACATTAAATTGTTGAATGAAGGACAGTGTAATTAACTAACTTCCGTTATCATGTTTTGAAAATAATAAGAATTTGATGTTTGTATATCTTTGTGTTCTTCATTATTATTTGTATTTATTTATGTTTGTATTTATGTATTTAAATATTTATGTACCTTTATATGTTTATGGACATACCCAATTTTGTATTTAACTATGTATTTCTGTATATATAATGCTTGTGCGTATCTATTTATTTGAATATACAAATTCAGGTACATTTGTGTGTGTGTTTGAAGGTTTCATTTTTGGTAATGAGAAAACTTTCTAAACCCCTGTTTTTGCTTAACTGAATTGGTTGTATAAATTACATTCACAATATCTGCAGTGATATAAATTCTTTCTAGCCATACCCAGCTAAGAAAAAAACTCGAAAAGTATCTAAGGACTTACCTTTGGGATTAATATCATTGTACCCTCTTTATCTGCTCGAACTTTAATCATAGTCCATTGTTTAAGTTTCACAGCCTGAAATTTGTGTCTATTGATATAACTTTGACCTTTTTTAAAAAAAAGAAAAGAAAAGAAAGTAATATATGCATTAGAATAGGTGTTCAAAAGGGGAGCACATCCCTCAAAAACTACACAAAAGGCCAAATAGGTTCTCTAAACTCTCAAGGAATCCAAAAGATCAACATTCTCCTCAATGGATTTACAATTTCTCCCTCAGACCCTTCAAAAACTCTGACCTGTTTCATTTAATTATTGCCACTTACGGAATATGACTCCCAAAGTTCATGGTTGAGTTGATTAGTTTTTGTTTATATGTTATATGAACAACATATATTTCATTGTGAAATGTTGCCTTGAGGGGAAAAAGAAAGAACTCGGGCTTGAAATAATATTTTCTATCCATTTACATGAAACTTAAGAATTTCTGTCCAATTTCTTTGAAACATGGAAAATAGTTCAGGATACGAATATAGACTGGTATGGATTCTTTGATTCAATATATGTTGAGAAAATAGGATCGTGAAATAGCGGGGACTTGATAATAAAGAATAAACGCATACTTTAATGATTTATTAAATTATCTTAGCTTCCAAAGTATGATATTATCGGGGACATGATACTTTAATGAATAAACGCATGCTTTAATGATCTAGAATATTGTGTTATTTGACTTGATTTTTATTTTTTCTAGTTCTGAATTTTTCTTCTAAAATTGTTTCAAGTATTTGAAATCCATGCTATGCTCTTTTTTTCTTTTTTTCTTTTTTTCTATGTTAATAGTCTAGTTCTATTCTAGAAATCTCAAATCTAGATGTCTAATGCATGCTAGATGTTTGTTCTTGAATACGTATCAAATACTGAATTCATTTTTGGAATTAAATATCTTATTTTCAAAAAGAATAATCAATATGTGTCGGTTGTCCATATTTGGCTCCTTTGTTGAAGTATTCATGCTATGTCCGAGATTTTGGGGTGCTATACCAACCAAAATAAATGATCCCATAAAACAAAAATCTACATGGGATTGTATAACATCATAACAGTGTTGTAGGGAGGCCATCCTTCTGTTTTTCATACATTTAAAAGAAGTGTCGTTTTATTGCTTAGACATATTTCATTGACTCAAATTTATGAATGTTTGTGGACTGTAAAAGTTTTTTTTTTGGATAAGTATGTGGGCTGTAAAAGTTAAATGGTCTAAACATGTCATTTATCGTTCATCTGTTTGGTTCCAGATCAATGAAGAGGCAAGTGATAAAGTCTTGGAAGTAGAGCAGAAGTACAATGTGATACGCAAGCCTGTCTATGATAAGCGGAATGATATAATCAAATCCATTCCTGACTTTTGGTTAACTGCTGTTAGTATCATCCATCTGTTTTGTTGTACAAACAAATTACTAGCTTACTGTTATGTATTTGGCATTGTTTTTAGAACCCTTTTATCCAACTGACCTTTGCATTTTTCTGTGCAGTTTCTGAGTCATCCTGCTCTTGGTGACCTTCTGACTGAAGAAGACCAAAAGGTATGGCTCTTACCTATACTATACTGAACTACTATTAAATAATTTGATTGCTTAATCAGTCTAATAATTTATGTGCACTTTTGCATTCTTTCTTGCTAGATTTTCAAGCATCTAAGTTCAATCGAAGTGGAGGATTTTAAGGATGTGAAATCGGGTTACTCAATAACATTTGTGAGTTCATTTTCTTTTTCCCTGCTTGAGTTTGTAAACAATTTTTCAGAGGTTTAATTGATTTTCTTTTTAGTGTGTTCAGGCCCTGTGGAATGAATGCTGGTTAGTGCCATGTTAATTGATGGATTTACATAGTTAATTTTGTTTCTTGTTTTTTTCAGAACTTCAACCCCAATCCTTTCTTTGAAGAGACAAAGCTCACAAAGACCTTTACCTTCCTTGATGAAGGAACAACGAAAATTGCTGCTACATCAATTAAGTGGAAACAGGGCATGGTAGGTGGTTTTTATCCATGCTCTTCTATGCATACATAACTTGCTAGTTCCATTATGGTGTTATTGATCATTCTTTGTGTTTTTAAAGGGTGTTGCTAATGGAGTTGCCAATGACAAGAAAGGGACCAAGCGGCCTCATGCTGAAGAAAGGTTGGTTTCCTTGATGTTTTGGTGTTTCTGTTTGGCTGAACAGAGCGTTTCGGCAGATTATGTACATTATATAAGCTATCTTTTTTTCTTTTGTAATTATTAAGATGCTATCTTTTATTATTATTATTATTATTTATAAAAGAAGTATCAATGAACATAATAATATCAGAACATAATAATATATTTTATAACTTGTTTTTTAAATAAAATATATAATACTTGTGGAAATTTAGTTGGTAAATTAGATGGGGAAATCTTCTGATTTATTTATTTGTAACTTAGCATGGCTAAGAGTGTTTATACTTCATATCAGTAAAAAGGTCAAATCAGGCTTGCTGAATTAATGGATTAGGGTCTCAACTTTGTCAGTTAGCCATACCTTGACAACACGATGTATTACAAAAGGGAGCAAAACATAACCATGTGTATTTTACACGTGTATCCAGGTTTGCTACAGCAAAAAAAAAAAAGCATGCTAAGAATTTTAGAGTATTAGGTACATTACTATGTGGGAGAAATTTTCAATGTGTAATCAAGCTTATATGCAGGTTTTAGATGCAGAAGCGACCATTATAGGAACTTCCGACTTTATCATGAGCAGGATCCTTTTCTTTATATATATGTAAGGACAATACTTAGGTCCTCACCGGTGAGGATCTACACCATCCTCTCCACATATGTGGCACAATCTTGTTATGACGCATCATCTTTGATTTGTCAATTAAAAAAAAGTCAAAAAGAAAAAGGAATGGAAGTCAGGTTGGCCCATTTCATCTTTGGATGGCATTGTCCTATATATTGACAATGATGTGTCATAATAAGATTGTGCCACTTATGTGTTGAGGATGGTGTAGGTCCTCACTAAGTATTGTCCTGTATATAATACAAAGTTGTAAGCTGTTCTATTTATTCTCCATTAGATTATAATTATCTGTTTCTTCTGCAAACTTCTTCAGTTTTTATTTATTTATTTCATATTCTATTTTGTTTAGATTTGCTGACTTCCCCTACATCTTGACTAGACGCAGTCTCTTGAAGTAACTGTTATGTTTTGGTTCATTTATGCTTTGTTGGTAAAGTTGATCTATTAATACCATGGACTTGCCTGAACATGCTATGGAATCTTTCTATGTTGTTACTATCATATTATTTGCTGCTTTTTCTGTTTCAAATGGGCAGAATATTAAGATATCTTGTTCACCGGTGTTCTGAATGAGCAGTGATCTATTGTTGCATTACATAATGGATTTATCATATTTATAATATGCATTAGCAAGATATCTCTCCCGAGGTTTACATTCCACAGACGTTACTTTTGCATTCTTCATTTTGATGGTATATCCTACATTATTTCACATGCCCTCGTGTATATGCCATTTCCTTATTCTGTTGACTGTTTTCATTGCAGCTTCTTTAGCTGGTTCAGTGAAACCCAGCAGAAAGATGATTTGGATGAGATCCATGATGAGGTAAATTTCTGTTTCTTATGCACAGATATATGTGTATTTTGTGCTTGGGCGTTAAAGAACTTGCCCTTGCCTATTATAGCCCCTGCTTCGGAACCTCATTGACCAAAACATGAACACACGATGATTTGATACATGCAATCTATGGATACCCAAGAATCTTGTAAAGTGGAATTTCCATAGCAATTACAAATTAACTTTTAGTTTCAAACTTTTACAATTGGAAATAGTTAAGGAAATTTCTTTCATAGTCCTGAAACTTTGACTTGGATCAACAAGAAAACTGTTATTTACTTGACATGACGAGATATAGATCTTTACTTGACTGTTTTGAAATGACATTTGGATTTGTGAGCCTCGACCATAAATCCATATTCTACCCGGACCCTTTTGGTTGCGTCAATTAGGCTTGGCGCCTACCAATATTTTCTATTCGCGCTCAAGTCTGATCACAAGCCCAACCCACTGCAATGAAAAGTTTGCTGTGGCCTGGCAATGTTGTATGGTTCAGTTGGGAATTGGGCCAATCTGCTGAAGTTTGCAGGCCTGCATGGAAAACCCCCTCCCTTTATCCTATATCTTCTTCTATTGATGTAATATATATGGGGCCTTACTTGTTAGTTGTTGCAGGTTGCTGAGATAATCAAGGAGGATTTATGGCCTAACCCTCTCACTTATTTCAACAATGTAATTTCTTTTCCTTGTTTCTTTCCATCTCATTTTCATTGGAAGATTTATGTAGCTTAAGATAGGATCTAAAACTTTTGTTGGTGTCCTGTTTTGCTAACGTTCATTAGTGACCTATTTGGCATATAGGAAGCTGATGAAGAGGAATTTGAAGGGGATGAAGGTGATGAAGAGGTAAATAAAGATCATTATTCTGAATTATAAATGCTTCTATATTTTTTGTTACATTATAGAGATTTTACATGGTGTTTTTAGAAGTTCTGCTTTAAATTCAGTGTGTTCATAGTTTGTTATCTTTAGGTTCTTAATATTGATGCTGTTTGTCTTGTTCATGTAACTTAATTTCCAATTTAAATAATTAGAACTTTATCATGTTATCTAATTTTATGCTTTATGTTCCTTGGTTGCAATGCTGGATTAGTTAATATTTCACAATATTGCTTTAATAGTCCTAAAATTGGATTAGTTAGGACCATTCTAATAAATTAAGAAAGAGATATGATTGTTGAAGATGTTTAGGATTTCGTGGGTTCACTTAGCGGCCTAAGATTGAAGAAATTCACGAATGCGTAAGGAAGTTTCAGAATAATTCAAAAGTGAAGAAAAAGAGAAGAATTACCTGTCAATGCATCAAACAGCTGGAGAAAACCCACTTCCATAGTTTTTCTTTTGGGTTCGCTCCCTTCTTAGCCTTTATTAATTAACTTTCACTTATCAAAGGAAAAAAAACCCCACTTGTAGTTTCAATTTATATTTGTATAGTAATTCATCAAAAAACGTTATCCTATTTAACGTTGAATCATTTATTGCTCATTTGGAAAATATATAGAATACACATGTAAACATATGTATTCTATTAAGAAATAGATAGATAAAATAAAAACTACCATCAGACGTGCATGATCTTTATACCTTTTATATAATTTTTCTTGATGAGATAGACAGTGAAGTCAAGTGATTGATTGAACTCTACTGAAGAGTTAAATCCTTTTCCGACAGGGTCCGTATTTGGCTTCTCGTTCTTTGTTGGGACATGCTTAAAAAGTTCTTGCTCACACCTAATAAATCCCATCCACTATGGTGCTTATTCTGTGCCATGCAATGATGGAGGAGGATTAATATTTTTCTCAATACAGTACTTGGCAAAAACATCAAAGGGACAAATAATATCATAACTACAGTCAACAAGAATTGAGAACATTTGGGTAATATGTATATATACACACACAAAAATATATGTATGAATGGGTAACAGATTTGACTCATTACTCATAATTATGAATAAGGTCTGAATTTCATACTTCTTTAACAGTAGCATCAAGTCTTATATTTGGATTTGTTCATCACTGGGATATGTAATTTACCTGTTTTGTCACTCACTGTTTTGAAGAGTGAGGAAATGTGCAATAGATCAGATAAGGGAAATGTTTCATAAGTGATAATTTACATTCATAAGTTTGTATGCAAATCAGTGCTATCTTGATGCAGACTGGGTGGTGTTTTAATGTTAAGGCTTGAATATACAAGAAAACTAATTCAGACAAATATAACTGTTTGTCATTGTGCAATTTGTGCTATGGACTAATAATGGATATGAAAGGCGTTCTGAAATTTGTGCAACTGATACAGCAGTGCTCATGATAGGGATCTCAAGTGTTTTGTAATTGGAGTGTCAATTTGAAAGCCTTGTTATAGTTTTCTGGATTTTGTTTTTCTTTTGTGCTACTAATGATCACATGCTTGCATTTGTTTAATTTTATGGTCTCTAATTTGGGAAGCATTTGTTTAATTTTATGATCACATGCATTTGCATTTGTTTAATTTTATGGTCTCTTTATAAACTGTGGACCAGGGGTTGAAGTTTGTATGTTAGGTCACTCGTATATATTATACACATTTATTATAAGATTTTCTAGTTATAGGTTTAGAATTTTCTTTTTCAGACTCATCACTTAAAGCAACTGATCTACAGATTGTTGTTTTTTCCTGCATCTGAAAGTTGTCTGACTGTATAAATTGTTGGCATGTTCCTGTCGTCCCTGTTTCCGACTGGCTAACATTTTTGACCATGCAAAACAATGTTATAAATTGGATATTATTTATTTTTTGTTGATAAGTTAGAAAATGTTTAGGCGTAATTGCAGTAGATGTAATGTTTGCTTGTTCTTGCCATTTAGGAAATACATTTGATTTTTTAGTATAGAATGCATAAAAAAGCATTATGTGAGGAATATCATTCTGGATTGTCATCCTGTTGCTCTGTATGTCCACACCAACATTTAGATTTGATTATAATGTTTCAACTCGCCTAACTTCTTCTGCCTAGGGAGTTCTGCCAGTGGAGGTAGTTAATGCCTGATATAATAGGCGTAATCTTTTTGTTTTGAATTTGTGAATTACATGCTCTGGCAGGAAAAGGGAAGTGATGGATCCGATGACGATGATGATGAGCAAGATGAGGATGACGATGACGGTGATGAGGGCGAAGGCAATTAGAAGCTTCTCATCTGGCTGGGTGTTTTGCTTTATTTGGGTTTTGCTGTTTTGGTAATGGCTTCTGTAAAGTGGTCTTGAAAGGTTATCAGAGAACTGGGGTAGCAGCTGCCATGGTGGCTCTTTACTTACTGTCACAGTAGTTATCTTCTATCTTATAGGCAACCAGTTACTTCCATGATCAATCAGGGGGTTGCCTTGTCCTGGTCTTTTATAATCAAGGCGCCTATCTTCTCATTTTCTTGATAGAATTATCTGTTATGTCGGTAACCTCCTCGCTATGTGGGATGCTAGATGATATGCTCATACTAAATTTTTTATTTTACTTTATGTTACGAACTCTTATCATTTAGGAATCAGTTGTTTTGGAATGTAGAGATGTTTGATCCTATGTTTGCAGTCTTAATGCACAAAAATATGGATTCCTTATAATCTTCAGTTTAAAAAGTTCTTAATCTTGCTTGGCATGGTCTACGTTCTACATTCTTACTATCATTATGAATGTGAGATTCCTGAAAATTTATTTACCTAAACGGCTTCTTGGATTTGGAATCGGAAGGAATTTAGTTTGAACTTTGAACTAATTTTTTTTTTCAATTTCAAATCCAAGGTGCTGGACTTTAAATGGTTTATGAGCAATCTTCATCCAACTTCTCTCTCCTGCAGCTCCTATTTTTTAAGCATTTAATTACTGTTTCATTGGATTTGTCTGAAGTAAATTTGTGATAGGTAAATGGGATATTGTTCCAAATGAGTCGAAGACACAGAAGGGTCTCGACTTTCTGGCTTGTTCAAATATTTATTTGGGAGGTCTGAACTGAACTTAACGGCCTAACATGTCAAGTGATGAATTTAGGAAGAAGTAAAATACATTAAAAGTAGCATGGACTTGAGTAACGGATATGGTTTGTCGTGGTGCTTCGTGGTTAGGAAGCACCGACGATGTAGAATTTCACTCCCTTTTGGGACTACAGTATTTGTGGATGTAAAATTTCACTTCTTTTTGGGACTACAGTATTCTCGTTGGCCTAACCTTGGGGTATGGACTTAACTTTTAATTTCATAAAAGATAGAAAATAAAAATACTTTTGCCCTTTTGTTTTACCTATATATATATATATATATATTATCATTAATTTGGTAAGCGAAGTCAAGTTCTCAGCTTGTATATTATTCTTATTAAATTATTTGAAACCTTATTAAATTAAGGGTAGATTTCACGAAACCCCCAATACTATCACTTTTTTTTATCAAATACCCCTAACCTATTTTAGAAAACCCCCAACACTATGAAATTTGATCACATTACCCCAGTTCTATAATTAAATGACGAAATTAACCTTCTGATATACCAATTTATTTTAAAAAGCAAAAATGAGTATTTTGCCAATTACATAAATAGCCTTATGCTACGTTTGGTGTGCATGAATGGAATGGAATGGAATGCAAGTGGGAATGGAATGAGAATGGGAATGGAATAGAATAGTCATTCTCATTCTATTGTTTAGTTGTAAATATGAAATGTATAGGAATGGAATGATAATAACCATTCTAGTGTTTGGTTGGACCAATTTAAAATTTAAAATGAAATAAATTTCTAATTGAATTCTCCAAAGTATCCCTCTTAATAAGAAATAAATTAAATTAAATTAACAAAATGATATTCTCTAATAATTTTTTAAAAATAAATGGTGGCAATGGCGGTGGTGGATGGTGGAAAGCGGTAATACTGTAGGTAGTGGTGTTGGAAGGCGGCGGTGGTAGCAATGGTGAAAATTGGTGGTAGCGGTGGTGGTGGAAGTTGGCAGTGGTGTTGGTGGTAGGCGGTGGCAGTAGTGTGGTGGTTGTGGTGAAAGGAAATAGTGGTGGTGGAAGGCGGTGGTGGAAGGTGGTGGTGGCGGTGGTTGTAATACCCCTATTTTTAAAAAGGATAGTCCTGATATTTTAATAAATTATTTGAGTGTATTTTTGTTTGTGAATTGTTTATTTGTGTTTATTATTTGCTTTTAATTGCTTTAGTTGATTTATTTGAGATTATTTGTATTTTGTGACTTATTTGATTTAATTGCATTTAATTTTGTCATTTAATTAATTATTATTGTTACATTGAACTACTTGATAAATTGTTTGTTTTAAAATTGAATTATTTGATAATTGTTAAATTTGAATAGGTTAATTATGTAAATACGTTAACTAAGGTTTTAAATATGTTTTTAGTTAGGGTTTTTCTTGAAGCCGTCATACAAGTATCTAACGTGTATGTGACTTAAGTTTATGGGCCGACTCTAGTTTAATTAGAGTTTCTGCCTTAGCTCTAGTTTAATTAGGGTTTTCTAAGGGCCTATTTATATACGTGTATGAGTTTCACTAAGGGTTTGGAGAACCCTATTCACGGCACAGTGAAAATAGAATGTAACAGAGAGAGAGTTGAGAGAACAGAGGCAATCGTAAGTGCTACCAAGGACAAGAACAGAGAGGATCAAAAGAGGGTTGTGGTGGATTAAATCACACCCATAGGAGGCTTAAAGGAAGTTAGCAGTTGCCGGAAACTTAAAGACGACGCCGGGATTTCATAACTGAAATCACAGGCAAGTTCTTCTCTTTCTCCTTCTCTTTGGCTTGTGTTCTGTGCACCTAGATAATCTCTAAGGTTTAATCAATCAGTAACTAGAATTTACCTGTTTAACATATGCTACATTGATAATCTGTAGTGTTGAAAACAAATCTGTTACAGTGCATGCAAGACTCGTTCCAGTTTTCTGTCCTTTAAGCATGTTGTTTCTGTTGTAACTTTAGACTCTGTATTTGATTGCAACTACTATAAACAAAATATAGGAACACTACTGGGGTTATATAAAACTCATAGGGTTGTTATTATTCTATTTTAAATATGTGTTGCAATTTGTTTCATTTCAATTCGTGCATGTGGTTTCAGTTGGTACTAACGCATGTTAAGTTTCAGTAGCAAGTTTAATCTTTGTAATTGATTCAAATTGTTGTAATCAAACCTTGGGGATGCTATTAGAGTGGTATTAAACCCTTAAGATCAGTTTAAGAAACCAATAGAGGGGTAGGAATTGATCAGAGAATGAGCAGACAGATTGAAACGGAGCAAAGACTGAACTGGAGGCTCTCAAGGGGGAGAGAGCCGGCTCTGGAAAGCTAAGAGCCTGCTCTCCTTCAGCAAGAGCCGGCTCCAAGGGAGTTTGGAGCCGGCTCCAAGTGGGAAAGAGCCTGCTCTTTCATTTTAAGAGCAGGCTCCAAACTTTTGTGCGTTCTGAAATGGGTTCCTACAGCATTGTGTGATACTTTTGACACTGTTTGAGTATTTGGATGGTTCATATGGGTTGTAGGGACTTCATAGAGGGTTATAAGGGTTAACTCTAAGTAATATTAAACTTATTGCTGCATGGTTTAAGACTCTCTGATAAAGGATGAAGCTGTGTAAAAATATACAACGGTGCATGCTATTAACAGAAGAAAGGAACCGAATGGCTTGATTAAATTTTAGAAATTTAATGGAATTTCACAGAGGGATTAAATAGTTAATTTAGGGTGTGATTAAAACCTTGAATTGATTTAAGTTGATCCATGGGACAAACAGTATAAAATTGATAAATTTTCTACGCTGATAATGGATGGAGGATGGATTAATTGCTTAATTAAATTTTAGCATTTTAAGGAGATCCAGTATGTTAATAAAACTTGTTTTAAATGCATGATAAGGTTTTTATATTAGATTGGAACTATGCATGCCTTGGATGTTAATTGTTAGAATATTAAATTCTTTGATGCAATTACATGGATTAATACTGGATTTTAATTGCGAGATTATTAATCTTCTTTCTGCGATTATTTGGATATTTGGTTTGGACTGTAAATTACTTGTTTATTCTATATATGTTGTAATTTACATGGATTTGGAGGATTGTATGTACCGGTATGGGACGGTGGCATACTAGGGACCGTTTAGCTCAAAACGCATAAACCTACCCTGATGGATTAAAAGAATGGATTTAAAATATTGAATTCCTAATTGTGTTTGAAGTCAGATCAACTGTGACTAAGTTGAATGGCTTACTGGATTAATGGATTGTAGTTAAGTCGTACCAACTGAATAAATTGAGTGACTAACTAGATGGTATGTTGTATGATAATTCAATAAATAAATGATTGTCATACCCTGGTTTTAGACGGACTTTATATATATGTTTATGGTACCACGAGATAAGCTTGAGTCTCAGACTCGTTGGTTAGGGTGCGTATATGCAGTGGATGCGTAGCTGGTTATAATAGGTTGAGGTGTACCTTGTTAGGTTTAGGTACTCATGCCCACCTTTGGGTGCGTTTTCGCATGTTGCATTCTATTCAGGTTGAGACCCCTATTATAAACCAGTGAATGTCCCTTAGTGTGGATATATTTATATGTATACACTAGATAGATATTGTGAGGTGTCTACGGTGTATCTGCGTATCGAGTCACTGTATGGATTGCAATTAGATTAGAACTTGCTCGTGGGCCTGACCCACTCCTTTATTATTCTTTTCAGGTATTGGACGGTTCCAGTCTCAAGCTTGATCGTGTTAAGCAGTGACTCTCATTCATTTTACCGACGATGTAGGATTTCACTTCATGATTTAGTTTTAGAATATCTTTATTTTCAGTTACTCAGTTTTAGTTGAAGTTTGGTTTAGGGGTCCACTAGTTAGATTCCCAAGTTGTAACCTTGAAGGTTTTTGGAGGATTAATTTATTATTTATCATTGGAGGATTTTATATTTAAATTCTTTAATTTCTATTCTGTGTTTGATTTAAAATACTTTAATTGTTTTAATATTCCCTTGGGTTTGGGCCTAGGCCTGATAAACCCGTGTCTCGGATCCGAGGGGTATCACAGTGGTGGAAGGTAGTGGCGGAAGGTGGTGGGCGATGGCGAAAAGTGATGGTGACGGCGGTGGCGGAAGGTGGCAGTGACGGCGATGGTAAAAGGTGGTGGCGGCGGAAGGTGGTGGTGGTGGTGGGAGGTGGTGGAAGGCAGTGGTGGAAGGTAGTGGTAGTGGTGATGGAAGGTGGTGGTGGTGGTGGTGGAAGGTAATGGTGGTGGTGGCGGAAGGTAGTGGGCGATGGTGAAAAGTAGTGGTGGAAGGTGGTAGTGGTGGTGGCGATGGTGAAAGGTGGTGGTGGCGGTGGTAGAAGGAGGTAGTGGAAGGTGGTGGCGGTAGTGGGTGGTGGTGGTGGTGGTGATGGAAGGTGGTAGGCGGCAATGGTGATGGTGGAAGGCGATGGGGGAGGCGTTGGTGGTTGTTGAAGACGGCGGCAGTGGCGGTGGTGGTGAAAGGTGGCGGTAGTGGAAGGTGGTGGTGGTAGTGAAAGGCGATAGTAGTGGTGGTAGTGGAAGGTGGTGGCAGTGGTGAAAGGCGATGGCGGTGGTGGTGGTGAAAGGCAATGGCGGTGGTGGTGGTGGAAGGTGGTGGCGGTAGCGGTGGTAAAAGGCGACGGTAGTGGTTATGGCAAACGGTGGCGGTAGCGGTGGTGAAAGGCGGCGGCGGCAGTGGTGGTGGAAAGTGGTGGACGATGGTGAAAGTCAATGGTGGTGGAAGGCAGTGGTGGTGGTGGTGGTGGTGGTGGTGAAAGGCAGAGATGATTGTGGTGGAAGGTAATGGTGGTTTTTAGACTTGGAATATGAGGGTGTTTTGGGAAGTCGATTTTTTAAAATAAATTACTTGGGAATGGAATGGTCATTCCATAAATTTAGTTGTGGAATGGATTTTCATTCCCAGGAATGAATTTTCGTTCTAATGGAATGGCCATTCCCACTTTAAGTTGCATACCAAACAAAGGAATGGTTGAAATGGGCATTCTATTCCATTCCATTCCTGCACACCAAACTTAGTATTAGTGTAATCAAAGCACAAAAACGACCGCGTTTTATTCACCTTCACCCTTTTCTCTGTGTGTATATATATATTATATGTATATGTATATATGTGTATAAATTCTCCTCAGATCACTTTTGCACCTCTGCCCCACACGGCGTCGTCTGCGACATCTTCGTCGACGAAGCCAACAACAACGCCACCACAGAAACAGTTCACATCATCGAACTCAATTTCAGGTCTTCTCTGGAAGAGCTCGTGTTCATAGAAAACCCAACTTTGGTTGGGTCTCTTGGTGGAGAACTCGGTAACTTGACGAGTCTAAGGAGGTTGGTCTTGACAAGAACGAACGTTTCTGGGAGTATATCAGATGGGTTTAGCAATTTAATCAACTTGGAAGAGATTACAATATCTATTTCTCAGTGGTGAAGTTTCGAAAAATTTGGGGAAGTTGAAGAAATTGAGGGTTCTTGATCTCAACAACAATGGATTTGAAAGGAATGTCCCAGAATCACTCGGAGGACTAGCAGAGCTCTTGAAGCTCAACCTGTGTTGGAATTGATTTTCTGGGAAAATCCCATAAAGTTTGAGCAATTTGAAGAGTTTCGGCAACTGTGGAGTTCCTCTGTTCTTAGCAGAGATACCCAGATTGAGAGAGGTGTATCTAGGGAGAATTTATACATATATATACATATACATATAATATATATACACACACAAAACCTCCGACGAACACCATCGTCGCCGAAAAATTCATTGCCGACAAATCAATCGATTTTGATCCACAGCTGAACACATTCGCCGCCTCGCGGTCCTAGTCCGATCCTTCCGGTAGAAACACCTTCTACATCCAGTCCGTAAGCTCCAGATTCACCAGCGGCACCTTCATCAGCCGGAGCCCTGATTCTGTGCACTCTTCGCTGCTAAAGAACAGCTGAATTATTATCAATCCGGCGATTTTCAATTTCTCGAAAACTTTGTCTGTTGATTTGACCATCACGTGGTGTGCAATGTTTCTTTTTACTAATTTGGTTTGTTAATTGTGGTTTTCTGGATCAAGGTGAAGGTGAAGGTGAGATGGAAGAGAAGGGAAGAGAAGGGCCGCGTGAATAATATATATATACATATAATATACACACACAAAACGCGGTCGTTTTGTGCTTTGCTGAGTTAAATGTCACTGAGGCTATTTCTGTATTTGACAAAATACCGATTTTTGCTTTTTTAAATCAATGGGTATATCATGAGGTTAGTTTCGTCATTTAATCACAAAATTGGTGCAATATGATTAAATTTCATAGTGTTGGGGGTTTTCTAAAATAAGTTGAGAGTATTTGATCAAAAAACTGATACTATTGGACGTTTGGTGAAATTTGCCCTTAAATTAATTGATTAGTTAATTAATTAATTAATTTTTTATTTTTTATTTTTTATTTTTTGACACAATTGATTAGTCATTACCGAACCATTTGGTGAACTTTCCAAAAATAAAATAAAACTGATTAATATTTGTTACACTCTTTAGGTGAGTTGGTGTGTGAAGTGTATAATTCAAGTTTTCGGAACTAGCTCGACACTTTGGGTTTGGGATTAAACCTGATGAATTTCAATCGATAATTTTGGCGATGGCTAGGGTTAGGAATTGTTGGACCCATTCAAAAAAAGCGACTTTAATCTGGGCAATCTCTGCGATTATCTTTCTCTGTGTGTTCCAAATGGCTCTTCGAAATTCATCTGACAATTATCACTCAACTTCTTCAGGTATTCAATTGCCCTTTTACTTCCTTATTCTCTGTTCTTTCCAATTTGTTATTGTAAAACTGTCTGTTTGTTTGCTGAGAAAAGCATGGAAAAAAGGGGAAAAGGAAAGGAGTTAAAAGGGTTTTTTTGGTAGTAAGTAGAAGGGTTTAATTGAGAGAATTTATGTTTTTGTTAGTTTCCCTTTCTGTTTCTCATCAGCTGAAATCTTTTCTGAAATAGTGTCATCTTTCAGTGTTCAATGGATTTTACTGGTGATCTTATGATTATACTGGTTTTCATTTCAATTTCGTGGTGTGTGTGAATGGGGGTGTGCGTGCATCCATATATGTAGAGAGAGAAAGAAACTGAATGAATGGCATTATTAATTTATGAATTAGTACTGATGCCCTTTTTTTATCCGAATTTTACATTCTTGATCTCTATGAGAATTATTCATACTCAATTCATACAATCACGATTGCAATATCGAGAGTGCCAGAGAGAATTTATTCCATATTCATATTAAAGTGAGCTTATCTTGCATTCAGTTCCAGCTGTAAAGTATGTGAGGTTCTCACACCAGAATAATGAATTAGGCTTGGGCTACTGTTCACCATCCATTGTATTGGTCAAAGACAAAAAATAAAATGCTAACATCCTCAAATTAATGAAATTAATAGACTAAGTGAGATGGGTTCAAATGGTGGATCCAATCATTTTCCACAATCTTGGCAAGATGTTGTTGTGAGCCAAATAATTAATATAGTTGGTAGTTTGTGCAAGCTTAGTTCTGTAAATCTGTTGAATCTTGAATTCGGGGGCTGAGACTGACTTTGAACTGTGGTGTCACTATGCTTTTAGATTGCCAGCCACACTGCTGTTTCTAATATGTCCCCTTTGCCAGACTGAACTTCTGGATATTTTTGGACAGCATTCGGAAATCTTTGTTTGGAAAAGATGTTAGATTTTAAATGTAAAAGTAGATTTGTGTATACACTAGACCGCTTGATTGATCTGCTAACTTCTGAAAGGGCATGGAACAGATACTCCAACTACAAATGCGGAGAAGAGATTAAGATTGTATGATAAGATGGAGAGGGATTTGGATGAGCACGGTGCAGTGTTCCTCAAACATGGAGAAACTTCTCAGTCCTTGTCACTTTCAGATATTTTTACTCTAAAAGATGGATCTGTTACACCTATACTTAAGGTAAAGTGCAAGTAAATTAGATCATTCTGCAGTCCTATAGCTGTTTTCTGATTCTTGTGCTGTCTATGATGCCTGGCCTTGTTGTATCCACAGGCTGCTATTCCTCCTGTGCGAGCTAATGTTTTATACATGAGCACAGAGCACTCGGTTCCTATCTCGTAAGAATTTTGTTATTTTGCATGTTGTCACTTATTGTGTTTCCTTATGTGTGTCAATTGATTATATTTAGATTTTCAGTTGAAGACCTGGCCTATCACTCATTAGCCTCCTTTTTAGTTAAAACGCTATTAACTGATGGAAGATAGGGCTTTAGACACTAAAATAGCAGTGTAGACATCTATAGCCAGTCCCAAATAATTGGGTTTTTGGATAATCCTACACACACACACACTAATACTAATACTACATGAAATAACCTTGTTTCAAAATCTTGCCATGATTGGAATTCTGTTGTCGAATTCTCAGGATATATTAATGATTACAGTTCTTGAACCAGGGGAATTGATGAATTTGAAATTATTTTTTTAAGTGTTATGGTCATAAAGAGGGATTTATGATGTTAATAAGAAAAAAATTCATTAGTCGGGAAAACTCTCGAGGGAAAATAATTTTTGTTAGCATTTTAGGCTCTCAAAGTCACTCACCACTCACTCGTAGAATTATATTACATCAACTGAACTACATTTTCTTCCAATGTTTTATCATATGACAATGGGAGTGAGGTCACACCTCTGTCTCAGCAAAGGAATGGAAGCAGAGGTTCATCAATTCAGGGGATATTGAGTACACAATTAAGTATTTAAAGCTAAATATATCAGTGGTTCTTCAATTAAACTAATTGATTTATGTTCCTTTTTTCTTTAGATTTTCCACTCTGTGAATGCCCTTTCTTTATGGCCACCAAAGTCTCGTAAAACATAGTCGACGCCAGGACTACCATTACCCTTGCAGTCATTCTTGTCTCCCGTAAAAATCGAAGGCTAAGTTTGCAGGTCAAGTGGAAGATACTGTTGGCACAGGTTGCCAGTAATCCTAACCTGCTAGTAATGTCCCTCAACCTTCACGTGTCATCAGGGTTCCTCTAGTGACTGTAGAGTATCGCTGGGGTTATCTGCAAATTGGAGCTCCGTTAGTCTCGATGGTTCGCCAGAATTCTTGAACTTATTTTTCTCTACTCTTTTCTTCTTTCTCCTTCTAGATTTTGTGTTTATCTAGGGGACAAGCATGTTTTTGTGCATTTACGTGAAGAAAAGAAAGTTGGGAAGAGTCACATGCAGATCTCACTTGGACTATGTCCAATCCAAATTCAAAATTCCTAACAATTATGTCTTTTTCATTTTGATTATTTTTTGTTTTGTTTTGTTTTTTTTTAAAATTTTCAAAATGAAATCAATTAGAATTTTGGCAAAAAGAAATTAACATTTCTGGATCATTTTTACATTTTAATTAGTGGTTTTCAAATTTAAGACATGTAAAGAAGTGTTTTAAGTAGTTTATAAAGGCAGGTTGAACATTTTAATTAGTGTTTTAAGTAGTTTCTAAAGACAGAACTACAGACGAAACAATATAGGTTTTGTTAAAAATGAATAGAGAAACAAAGTATGAAAAACACAAGGCAAGAATATACGTGGTTCAGCTACTAGGGCTGAACCAAGGCACAAAAAGCCCTAAGGGCTACATCACTTTTATTAGAATCTCTCTTTTTCATACTCAATAGAATGGTTGAGGCTCCTCTATATAGGAGAAGAAATGATGATAATGGAAAGAGAGAGAAAATAGGAAACAATATTAATACTAGAGGATTATTCTCTACTGATTCTTCTAGTAATGGTAAAATCTTCAATAATAGGAAAGAACATCAATACTGGAGGATTTTCCTCCACTGATTCCTCTAGTAAATCTTCAACACTCCCCCTCAAGTTGGAGCATGAATGGCATGAATGTTCAACTTGCCATTGAGATTACGAGTAGCAGCAAGTGCAAATGATGAAGAGGTGTAACAAGATGACCTCAATAAAAATGGATCCGGCAGCCTCAATTGATGAAGAGGTGTAAGAAGATGACCTCAATAAAAATGCATCTGGAGATCCAAGAAGAGAACCAAAAATGGTTCTGATGAAGAGAGAGAAAATAGCACAGAACCTTGTCTGATCTGATACCATGTTGAAAATGAATAGAGAAACAAAGTATGAAGAACACAAGGCAAGAATATACGTGGTTCAGCTACTAGGGTTGAACCACAACACACAAAGCCCTAATGGCTACCTCACTTTTTTTTTTTTGATAAGTAATAATAAACTAAAAAAGCGTTCAATAGGGGAATGCGTCCCATAGACATAAAAGAAACCGGGAACTAAGTTTCCAAAGAATCCAAAAAAGAAATTAAATCATCAGAAGAGGAACAGGAACTTCTGTTCACATAACTGAAGAGAGAACGAATAATAATAAGTTTCAGGGTCGCTATAGACGATTCCTTTCCTTCAAACATTCTACTATTTCTCTCCCTCCAAATGCACCACCAAATACAATGGGGTACAGATCTCCAATATTTAGGAACACTTCTACCCACATGACAACCTCTCCAGGCATGAATCAGCTCCTTAGTAGAACGTGGCATTACCCAATTCATGCCAAAAAGCCCAAGAATAAGATTCCAACAGTCGTGCGCTACAAAACAATGCATTAGGAGATGATCAATTGACTCCCCATTTTGCTTACATATGCAACACCAATTAACAAAATAATTTCCCCTTTTCCTCAAATTATCGATCGTCAGAATCTTACCCTAAACGGCGGTCCATACAAAAAAAGTCACCCTAGTAGGAGCCATCGAACACCATATAGTCTTCCATGGAAAATCAGAGGGTGCAAAATTAGACAAACATAAGAACAAAGACCTTACTTCAAAACTACCGTGAGAAGAGGGAATCCAAATCAAATTGTCATAACCCCTTCCAATTCCTTCCTGCCGATACAATTGATCCATAAAAATGCTCACATCTTCTAGCTCCCAATCCTGAAAAGAACGCCGAAAAAGAGCATTCCACGTAATTCCACTATTATCAAACTGATAACAGTTAGCTACGGTGGCATGTCTATCAGCTGCAATACTAAATAATCTTGGGAAAGTACGACATAAAGGCTGATTTCCACACCAAAGATCTTCCCAAAAACGAACACGACTGCCATCATGAACTCTGAATCTAACATGTGGAGAAAAGGCATCCCATCCTTTCCGAATGGATTTCCAAGCCCCAACGCCTCCCGCAATAGAAATCGGACGTGTAGTCCATCCTCGAACATCATCCCCATACCTGCAGGAGACTAATCTACGCCAAGGGCGATGTCTTTCCTTCCCGTATATCCACAACCATTTGCCCAAAAGAGCTTGATTAAAAGGAATTAATCGTCTAATACCGAGACCCCCCAGTTTTATAGGCTTGTAGACTTGCTCCCATCTAACAAGGTGATACTTGAACTCTTCTCCCCTTCCTCCCCAAAGGAAATTCCGTTGAATTTGTTCAATTCTATCAGCAACGGAGCATGGAATTTGGAACATAGAAAGAAAATAAGTGGGAAGGCTTGATAAAGTGCTCTTAATAAGAGTAACTTTACCCCCCTTTGACAAATATTGCTTCTTCCAACCTGCCAACCTCTTTGCATACCTATCAATCACAACTCCCCACTAATCTGGGAGAAACCCCTAGGGGCAATCCCAAATAAGGGATAGGAAAGGAGCTCACCCTGCAGCAAGAGAAGAGATGTCCTGTACATTCCCAACCGAAACAAGCACACCCTTGGCCACGTTAACCTTAAGCCCGGAAACTGAAAGCAAGCCAAAATGCATCTTAAATATCTAAGTTGAGATACATCCGCATCACAAAAAACCAGAGTGTCATCTGCAAATAACAAATGAGAAATCTCCACCTGATTTGCAATATCTCTTCCCACCCGAAATCCTTTGATGAGACCAAGATTCTCTGCCCGGCGCATAAGTCTGCTTAAGCCCTCCATAACAATAAGGAACAGAAAAGAGGACAAAGGATCACCTTGTCTGATACCCCGAGAGCACCCAAAAAAGCAGGCTGGAGAACCATTCACAAGAATTGAGAACTTAACAGACGACAGACATGTCTGAATCCATGTCCTCCATCTACTTCCAAACCCCATTCTTTGAAGCAAATAGAGAAGGAAATTCCAATTAACATGATCATAAGCTTTCTCAATATCAAGTTTACAAAGAACTCCAGGAACACCATTACGCAACCTTGATTCCACACATTCACTGGCGATAAGAACTGAATCAAGAATTTGCCTACCTCCAACAAAGGCATTCTGGGAATCTGAAATAATCCCATCCATAACTTTTCGCATTCTTTGAGCAAGCACCTTGGCTATATAGGAGAATAATGGCTACCTCACTTTTATTATAAACTTTCTTTGTCATACTCAATACAATGGTTGAGGCTCCTCTATATAGGAGAATAAATGATGATAATGGAAAGAGATAGAAAATAGGAAACAATATCAATACTAGAGGATTATTCTCCACTGATTCCTCTAATAACGGTAAAATCTTCAATAATAGGAAAGAGCATCAATACTGGAGGATTTTCCTCTACTAATTCCTCCAGGAAATCTTCAACAGGTTTCAATTTCGCAAATTCAGTACTGAACTTGCAATTCAATTCAAAACTTCTAGAGCTTCATTTTCAGTTGTATCAAGCAGCTCATCACTCTAGCACTTGCTAACCAGTATCTCCCAACAATACTAGAGTAGTGACCAAGTCCGTTGTATAAAAGTTGGCCTTCCCTTCTAAGTTCAAATATTACTTGTCTTAGTGATAGGAAAAGTCATTAAGGACTCGGGGTTGATGTGAAAAAAAAATTCTTTGCAACTAGAGCGTCGTCTTGATTAGCTGGTAGAGTTTGCCTTGTCCATATTCAATAATAGTGCACACTTACTTTCTGCTTTACCTGGATGCCATCATGGTCTTATCCAAAATTTTGTAGCGGGAGAAAAACTGATTGCAGCTTTGGTGCCAATCCTGCTGTTGTAATTTAAAAATATACAATAAGTAGATTAACTGAAAAAAAAGACATAAAATTGTCCATGTCTCAATGCTTAGGCTATTTTTTGTATTTTAACTTTTGTGATACTCAATATACTGGAATATGGATATATATCATACTTCACTTGCATGGATAATAAAAATTTACATATTATGCAGAATGTGGAATCTTTTACAAAGTCTTTAGAATATTTCATTTCCCTTTTCCTTTTATGTTCCCTCAATGGACTCTTCGTCTTTTTTTTCTCTTTTTCTTTCCTTGCTTCAAAAAGTTGGATCTTAGATTTTTATATGCCTGCTTGCTGCAGGGAGGTTGTAAGGGGTATATTTCTTCCCTATTTTGAAAAAGGTAAGCTATTTCCTTTTTTCTTTTGGCCTATTCGTTAACATTGATGTTGTTCTTTGAAGTTTCAAACTTGAGCTAATTTAGATATTGTAAAGTTTTTGTTAGAAAGAGTATCTTTTCAACTTTATTTTACAGCTAAGAGATTTCATTGTATCCGTTTGCCTGCTTATATGTGTCTTGGTTAGTGAGTTGGTTTCAGAACTCTACTTTGTACCATTTTAGCATGTTCCATGCCTCGCACCATATTGCACCTGTTCCTGCCACAGAACAGGAGGTAATTCCCCTTTTCTGCCCTTCACATGTCTCTTTCTTTTCTCTTCATCATGAAATTGTAATGATTGTACTGAAACAGCTCCTGTCCTGTCAGATAGAAGCTGAAGCAAATGCTGTTAAAACTGTTGTGGACGCTCTCTGCCCAATAAAAATTGTCTTGGATAGGGTGGTTTTAACTTCAACTGGTGTGCTTCTGGGGTGCTGGCAGGTTACATAACTTCAGCTTTATAAACACGTATATGTATGTATATATCAATTTATAATATGTTTTGTGTGAACTGCTGGTTTGTAACTGCATTATGAGGCACCTCTCTCTGAAATCATGTCTCACTTTGAGTGAATTTTCAATACCTTACTTAACTAAAGGTTTCAAACTTTCCTTATTCTCTATCATTGAAAGGAACTGTGCAAACAAACTATATTGTGAGAGACTTCTATATTGTGACTGCTATAGAATTATTGTGTTAAAGTCTCTTATAATTTCCTTTTGACATCTTAATCATGACTATGAAAGCCATTCATCTTGCAAGCAAGATAGTTGGGGTTTTGGGTTACTGGTGTGCCTATCCAATTCCACTTGAGCCAACCCCTTGGGGTTCTATGCATGGGCTTTCTTCCTCACAGGGACTGTTTGTGATAGTTTACCAATGGTCGCTTTATACTAATACCATGGAAGGTTGGTAATATAGTTGATACATAGGAGTAACCATCAAGTTTTGAGCAGTTCTATGATTTCCGTTTCAATCGGTGTTTCTTTTATTTATTTATTTATTTCCTTATTTCCATCATGTACTTGCAGCAGATTATTTCTATATACCATTTCAGATCTATTGGTAAAAAATATTTTATGTTGTAGTAAAAAATTAGTCAATTATTTAGTTATTTATGAGAAGAAGCAGCTCTTCTCTATAATTTCGTGTATCAGCCAAGACTGATTATTCTGGGGTGTTGGCATAATCTGACCAAACAGGCATTGAAACAGACCAGAAAATAGTCCCTGTCGTCTTTGAGGCATGGTGTTCTTTTCTTTTTTCTTTTTTCTTTTTTTTTTTTTTCCTTTCCTTCAATTTTTTTTATATATTTAAAAAAAAAATTAGAACTGGACTTTCCGACCGAAACATCTCAATGTGGAATAAATCTTGTAACTATGGTTTTCAGCACCATTCTGTCTGACTGAAATTTCCGAACTGCATACATGTTCAAGAACATTCATACTTTGGATCATTGTAGGAAAATAATTTTGAAAACACCCATTATTAGGGATATAAATTATTGGTCCTCTATTTCATTATTGATTTTCTTGTGTAGGTGATTTCTGGGACAGATCCTATAACTATTCGTGCTAAATTGAGAACTGCTCTTCCTCGTGCTCCAGAAAAGCAACTTGTAAGAACCATATGAATCTGTCACCTCATGTTCAACTACATGAACCTTGTGAGTAAACAAGATATACCAATGGTTTGAAGATATAAATGGACGGGCAAGGATATGGGGCACTACATCTGAGGACCCAAAAATTTACCCTAAAATATATTATCATTTTATTGTTTTGAGTGCCATTTTCTCCCTCCAAATTTATGAGACTTTATAGACAAAAAGATGTCACTGGTGATAATACATACATCTGGGTTGTTGATTCAGTTTAAGATTTCAAAGAAATTGGTTATACTTCCTATGGCGCTACACATAAAGAGCTAGTATCCGCCCGCTTTGTGATACTGTAATTTGTACCCTGTGCAATGGTATTGATTGACTATCATTGAACAGCTTTAATTTCTCCAGTCGAAAATGAGATGAAAATGAGGAGTGTGGGGTTTGATATAGTTTCCCAGTAGATATTGTTGACGATTCAAGTCTTTTACTGATCCCCATTCGTTCTTCTGCTGTAGTATGATGATGCCATTCTTCACACATCATTTGCAAGACTTCTGGGTCACCCAAATACTTCACCTGAGGTAATAACTAAAACTTAGCATTTTAGTTGTTGCATTTATTTATCTACCTTTAATTACTTCTTGATATTGTTTACTTGTTACAAGTGTTGCAGTTGCAAGCAATTGGGAAAAATAATAATATATTTTCTTTTGATGTAGTCATACACTGAATTTTGAGGCTAGCTTTGTGTGTAACCTAGAAACAAATGCTTACCATACATCTTATTATGATATACCCGAGGGGAGCATAACGGGAGTCCGGGACCTGCTAACCAAAGAACTGATGCAAATTGACCTAGGTTTAGTCAGTTTCTCTAGTAAAATCGGATCAGTGCTGTTTCCTCTTTTAGAAAACCAATGTTGTTTGTTCAGCTCTGACTTCTGATATAGGGGGTCGGTATACCTAAATTACCTTAAAAGCAAGTACCTCTATAGAAAAGCATTTACCATGCTCCCTGGTCCACTGAGTGATTACTTTTTGATGCATGCCACAGATATAAGATATATGCTGTGAAATCTTACTTTTCTTTATCAATGTTGGATCACGCTCTAGTCGAAGTAGCAGGAAAATCCCCAGGCTTCCCCCTTTGGTAGAGCTTTCTTTCACTTCCTCTTCCTCTTCCTCTTACTTGCCTAGGAGAATGGGGTGTCAGGGCATACTTTATACTCCAAAACTGGATACCTTGGTTCTAAAGCTCTGAGCCGGTCCCCACTGGCTGTATATCCTATCATTTCCCGTACTTGCACTTTAGTTTAGGAATAATTGAAAGGTCTTCCTCCATATGTTTTTTTCTCTGTTCCTTGCAGTGTGCATAACTAAGTAGGTTACATGGACCATTTAGCTTAGTTGTTTGATCTTTATGATGCGTGCCATATTATTATAACATGATTATGATGACATAAATTATTCAGATACTACTAAGGGTAGACATAAGGATAACACAGTGAAACCTGCACCAATCCAATCAGAACTGAACTGAAATTTCTTAGTTTGTTTTGGTTTGGTTTTTTCAATGCTCCAATTTGATTTTGGATTGAAAATTGAGAACAGACCTTGGTCCATTCGGTTTTGGGGTTCGTCACAGACAGAGCATACCTGAACAAGTACGTGCATGCATGTACCAGTTGGAATTATAAATACTCCTAGAGAAACTAGTGGAAGCTAGTTCTGTAAACTATGGGCTTCAAATGTAATGGACAAGAACTGAAAAGCAAAACAAAAGAACAATCGAAATTAGTAGGTTTGGAGCACTGAAAGTTTCCTGAATAAGGAATCTCTTAGACAATGATATCCGGGGAAATCACTCTTTTTATTTTCTTGTTTCTGACAAAAGTCTTTTTGGGGAGTATCTTAGTTTTATGACTTGAAGTGTTTATCTTTAAATTTGTGGTTTGACGCCTTCTATTGTTCTGTACAGGAGGTGGATAAAACTTCAGAACTCCAATTTTTTCATAAGCTAGTTGCTCGTCTAAACAACGAATTACGTGGATTTCAGGTAGATTTTTTATTTGATGTTCGAAACCATGTATATCCTTCCTGTATTGATCAGTATAGTGACCATGTGAGGAGGTAAAAATCGGGGTGAACTCTCTCTCTCCCTCGGCTTAAACAACTGTTGATTAAGGTGAAGAAATCTTCATCAGAGAGTTATAATTATCGGACTAGGCCACTGAAACTATTCCTTGTGACATCACATGATCTGATGGCTTTTCAGGGGCAGATATATTAAGCAATCACCACAGTCAATATCTTAATGTTGATTTCAGTATCATTATGTTTTGTTTCATAGTAGTTATTGTCATTTGCAAGCCCATTATTTGAGACTCTATGACATTTACTTTGAAATATAAAATGATCTGTTTGTCCCTGAATGGTAATTTGAACTTGAACTATAACGGCAAGTTCTAACAGCAATGAAAAAATGTATGCTAGGATAATTACCCATTATTAAGATTTTTGTTTTATTATATTCAATTATAAAAAAAGTTTGGGTTTTGGATATATATATGTGAAAAATATCTACTCTGTTACCTTTAAAACAAACCCTTTTAAAAAATTCAGCCAACATTCATGCCCTGCGTGGGTTTTATAATGAACTATTCCAACTGCTGTGCCAAAGTAAATTGGATCCCAGACTAGAGGCAGACTTCCTGTCATCTTCAAGCAATTTACATGGCGATTTAGACAGTCCATTAGAAATTATAGTTCGAAACACATCTTTGGAACAACATTGTGGAATTAATTTGATAGTGCAATAGCTAGAGATCATCGTACAAATAACTAGTGTAGACGTTCAGTTTGGTGTGCTGCACATTTGGAACTTGAAGTGCGTTTCGGCACAGCTCTATTTTGAACACTGTTTTTTTACCATTATGATGAATTTCCTGGACTATGGCATTCTTCTTTGTCGGTGTTCATCTTGCTTATTTTTCGGTAAATTCATTTAGGCGACAGTTTCCGAGCTCTGGTACGTGGAGGAATTCGATATGTTAGCTCTTGCATTGAATGGAAGAACGAAGATTCGGAAGTTCCAGCTTGGCTGCTCAAAAACCTGAGGTATCCAAGGATCACAAAACATATACTTCGTAGTCCAGTTCCACTATCAAGACACAGCCCTGTTCATTCCGTTTCTCGCATTGCAGATGCTGGCTCTTAACCATGGTCGGATAAGTGGAAACTCGAGTTTGTATCCTTCTCTCTTTACTATATTTTCAGGTTTCCCATGGATGTGGGAAACCGTTGTATGAATCGGAATTTATCTACAAAATTCTTTGGTTATACCTGAGTTCTTCTTGTAGGTCATTTGTAATTCATGATATTTTAGTTTTTAATACACCCAGACTTTGGTTGACTTTCCCCATAATTCATGTATTTTTGTAGAAGGCGTTGTACTTGTAACCTCTAGGGTCTCAAACTTGTAAACTAGTACTAATACCGCGGAATCCTAACTGGCCAAAAGACGCACTAGGGGTAGCTATGATTCCCCTCGATTCCGGAACCTGGGTTGATCAGGTCCTTGCTGATTTTGTAGTTCTTGACACTAAACCCGGTTGATTTTGTACTTCGTGACACCGAATCGGTGCCCAATCTTACAAATCATATCCCAATCATCCTAGGTCGACCATTCCTACTAATGTCAATACCATTGACATTTGGGCAGAGTTGTCTGGTTATCAATATGCAGCTTCAGTACCTTCATACAAAATATTTGTTCATTTTCTAGTTTTGGGGCATGGTTACTAGATGATCTCTCTGGGCTATCACTAGAGAACTAAGCTCTCACTATTATTATTTGCGAACGAACTCAAGTTGGCTCATTATCTTCGAAATTTTATTTTTTAATTTTTTTTGTAACATTTTTAATTTACATACTTTAATTACATTTTATTACTTTTAAATCAATAAATAGGTAGAATACTTGTTAAAAATACAATACATTTTAGGTATTTGTTTATAATTAAACAATTTCAACATTTTTTTATAATAATATGCGTAAAACAGTTTGGGGTACTTGATTTAAAGTCGCTTTGTTGACATTTTGTACACGCGTTCATGTTTTATCCTATTAGGACTTTGAAAATTTTAAACTTTTTAATCACAGAGAAAAAAGATACCATTGAATTAATTAAGTGCTTGAAGACAACTTGAATGGTCATTTTCTTATCATTTTAGAATATGCTATCAATCATCATCATCTAGGGGCAATGAACAACCTAAAAACCTTGCACAAAATTATGATTAGTGTGGTCATCTGACCTAACTGGTCCTTTTCTTGGTGTTCTTTTTCCTTCTTTTGTTGTTGAAGACACGTGGGGCATTATTAAGTGGTTTAGTGTAATTCTTTCACACTTGAATTCACAACGCCTTCGCTGCGGTTCGGGTTATCCTTGTTTATCCAGGGTGAAAATTCAGACATCTTTCGGGCCGAGCATTTGGCGTGACACCAAATCAAGAACTGGTGTCTAGCTCTGATACTAACTGTAATGGGTGGACGTTTGTCCCATTTATTCAAAAATTTAAGTTATTGGATAGTGGTGCATACCCATTCATTTTTTCATCTGAATTTGATATGGGACAAGCTCCCCCTTGCAACACCTACTTAGTAAAGTTCTTAATTCTCCAAATGGATGTGTCAGTTTTCAAGTTTCCTAATTTGCAAGGAAAAAAAAAAAAGTCGTGTTGAAGACGAGCCACACGCTTCCAACACACTGTTGGTATATCCAACCAATCAAAATACACCAATCTAATCAGCGTTGAGGAAAGCTTTTATATTAGCTCATGAATTTTTATTTTCTAAATTTGTATAATATTTTTATTTTATGTACGTACTACATTTTTATTATTTTCTCATCAATAAATAGATAGAGAACTTGTTAAGATTATTATATATATATATATATATATGCGTGTACAACCTACTTGGTTAACCGTTTTTTAAAAACTCAATTCAAAAAAGATTTATTCTTAATTTTTTAAATTTTTAAAAACTATTTTCAAAATGACAAACCAAAACAAATCTATCGTTTTAATACATAATAAAGTATATCAAAATGCTTTGTACCGGAGAGGATTCATATTCATTCTAAAAGTAGCATAGTCAGATTATGGTCTAATAGATTGCACAGCGTGACATTCCACTCAGTTTTAACATTTAAATAATTTTTTATTTTAATTGTAATTGTAATTTAGACCGTTGTTGGAAACCTGAATCATTTTATTTTTATTTTTTCAAGTACAGCCTTATCATAATTTATTCAATATTGAATTTCCTGAAACAAAATATGCATAGTAAGGTGATCCATACCCATTCCCCCAATGCGGATGGATTTGAATAACAGCTTTCGTTTTGAAATTGGAGCACTATATCAAATGCTGCTTTGTTGAAATTCTGTGCATGGGGTTCATATTGGTCTATTAAGACTCCCAAGTCTCATTTTTTTAGTTTAGAATTTGAATTAAGTGCTCCAAGAAAACTTAGAATCGTCTTTCATTTTAGAAAATGCTACCGATCATGGTGGTGCAGCATGAAATTCCCGCACAAAATCATGGGTGTGGTCCTCTAAAAGAAATTATTACATAGACTCGAAATTGTTAATTTCAATCGGATGGTTAATTAACACTAAAAGAAATTAAATAAAATTGATATAATTTTAAGTGCTAACTTGGTTTGTAATTTTGAAAATAGTTTTTTATTTTAAAAAAACTGAAAATAGAAAATAGTACAAATTTTTTTTCTTAATTCAATTTTCTAAAAACTGTTTCTGAAAATTTAATAAAAATGACTATTATTCTCTGAAAATTATTTTCTATTCTCTTAACTCTTAAAAAATATTTTTAGAGCTAAAAACCAAACATGGCCTAATATATTTATTTGTAATTAATTCGAGAATAATGATTCTCAAACAAGGTAATAATTCTGGGAATAGATCCTGGTTAATATTTTTTTGGGCACTTTATTATTATTATTATTATTATTATTATTATTATTATTACTCCCTATTTGTTTTGTTTTGTTTGTTTGTCCTTTTTGGTTTTTTTTTTTTTGTTTTGGTTTTTTTTTTTTTTAATGTGTTGAAGACACGTTTGACTCTTGTGCACACCACACACTTCTGGTATTCCCAACGAGACCAACTTCATCTTTACTAGATTACTAATAATGAGGCATACAAATATGTCTCCTCCGCGTGGAAGCCACATGCTTCTTTGCCTTTTTATTTCTGCTTGCCACAAGTGTGTTGGGTAAGAGTCACATTTAAAATTGAATATAATAATTTTTTTTTAAAAAAAGTCAAAATAAAAATAATAAATAAATAAATAAACAAACCACCATTCTTCCAATTATTTTGTATTGCGCAATGACAATGGAACGGAGTTGGGACGGATTTAACTAAATCATACTTCACGAATTAAAAAATACGTCATGTCAATTTGATTTTTATTTCGAAATAGATTTGTAATTGATATACCATTCTGTTCTATTTCGGTAAACAAAATATCAACTCCGTCCGGCGTATTTTATTTAATTGCGGAGTAAGATGAGTTATGTCATTTTTATTATGCTTAATTGAATTTTTAGAAAATAATTCAAAAACATTATCAACCAAACAAATTTTTGTACAATTTTTTTATTTTCAATTCTCTGACAATTGAACCAGCCCTACAAATTTGATGAGTTTATTGTATATAAATTTTTTTTAAAAAAATTGTCAACCAAATTAATTTTTGTACAAATTTTTATTTATTTTTAATTCTCTAAAAATTTAACCTTAAAAAAATTGTCAACCAAATAAATTTTTGTACAAATTTTTATTTATTTTTAATTCTCTAAAAATTTAACCAACCCTACAAACTTGATAGCTTTATTGTAAATAAATTTTGATATGAAATTTTCAGGGTAAAATCTCTCCCAAACAAGTAAATAGCTCTGTACGTGATCAGCATGAGGTAGGCCTCATACTAGCATTAATTTTTATGCGTCTTATTTAAAAATCTTTTTATTTTAAAAATAATGTTCCTTGCGCCTAATCTAAGGGGCATTATAGTAAATCTGATATATCTTGGAGGTGCGTTGTTGCTATGGACAAAGACAAATCACGTGGCATCATCGATTGTCCTGATTCGATGCATATAACAGGCAGGTGTTGGGCACGCTCCTCACCGGTGTCAGATTCTCCCGCCACACGCCTTCCGCTGTCCTCTTACTTCTTTCTCTCTTTTTTCTCTCTCTAACATCACCACCCACACGCCTTCCAACTCTCAAGCCCTTCAAAGATTCAAAGGTGTGTGCGTCTTTCTTCCAATTCAAAATCATTCAGACCGATTATAATCAATTAATCTCATCTCTGCCTTTTTTTTTGGTGGATTGTCTATCACTCATCAGTTCCAATTAATCTATAATTTCAAGGTTATTTTAATAGATTATCTCATGAATTCGAATTGGATTTTATGGGTCTTTTAAGCTTTTAACCTGGAATTAGGGTTTGCTATGTTTTTGGTCTGTATATTCGCTATGTGTTCTTCCCTTTTTTGTTATCTAGGGTTTTATGTTCCAATATGTGTGTGTATATATGTGTGTGTGTGTAGATGTAACTGTAATTAGTGAATGAAGGCGAAAGTGAGTTCCTGGAAATGTGATTTGAGCTCTAGGGTTTTTCACTGACTACTTTGGTTTTATATTTGGTTGCTGAGGAACTGGAACAATTCAAAATGAATGGAAGTCAACCCTTATCTCTTTCTTTTTTTTGGCCCCCAAAATAAAATCAAATTATCAAGGCATATACAAAATTTATATACATATATGAAAAAGGTGGCCAGAGTTGTGTTAAATTATATGTTTTCATTATACCTAAACAACTTAAATTTTCAGATTTTAGTACTCCTCGTATTTTCTCCCTAGATTTGCTCTGCAACCAAACAGAGCTCTTAGGAAGAGATGCCTACACTTATATTATCTATGATTCAAAGCTAGCAATAAAGAATACTACTCAGTGTGCAGACTCACGCGGTTGCAATTGTTTGTCTCGTTTTCATGAGATTTCTTAGTTTTATCTCATGATTAGCAGTTGCTGGATGATTCCTTTTTTTGATGTCTTATTATTATTATTTTTTGGTTGCAGAAAATTCATTTCCCTGAAGCTTTTTGGGTGGTAAGAAACTAAGCATGGATACAGAGGCAGAGGCTCCTGCAGTTCCAATGGTTGACAAGGTCAATGTAGTGGTAGAGAAATCAGTAAGCAGGTCAGTGCTTCGTGATCCTGATTCGACTCGCTTATGAAAATTGGTGCATGAATAATGCATTTTTGTTTCTGAAACCCTGCTAAAGAATGTTGGTTGAATTTTATGTAACTTTTTTACTTGTATCTTACATAGAGAGCTTGTAAGACTCTTTATGTGTTTGCCATCGAATAACATTAACTCTATAAAATAAAAAGAATTCATAGAGATGCAGTTTGTAAAGGATTTTTGACGCATCGGATGTTCAGTTTATTACAATGGGATATTCCAGTTTAGTGTAATCATATAGCTGTTGAGTTCAGTAGATTTAAGGATGTTTACATAAAAGAACATTTTCCACTGAACAAATATTTACTGTCATAATTGTGAATCTTAAAGCAATGTGATACATTTGTTTGAGTCTACCCACAATTACAAAGCAAAAGTTTTTCAATGCCACTTTGAAAGAGCAGCAGCTATTTAGAAAATTCAAAGCAATTTTTATGATTCTATAAAAATTCTAACATTATATTGGAATTTTAAAATAGTCTTTAACGGATGAATTTGCTTGTAGCTGGGTTGTAATTGAAACTATGGGGAAAAAACCCCTCATGGATTGAGAAATGAAATGTTGATGAATTAAAATTTTAAAGTAGTACACATTAAATAAGTTGCAACATTGAAACGGAAGGAAGTAAAATGAATATAATATGTATTCTCTCAAAATATTTCTCTATCGGCAGACTGCATTGCTTGGTGGGAAGTAGTTTTACAGGAATAATAGGTTCCGATTTTAAAGTCGACATAGATGTTTAATTTTCAGTAGAATCTGATTACCTGTTGATCAGCTGATTTCTGTATCACAGCTCTGGCCTTTCTGAAAATTTTTTCCCCTGTATTTGTCTCTGCCAATGGCTAATGGGATGATGTGTATACACAATTCTGAGTTAGCATTTTGGTTAGTTCGTTTGTGAGTAAATGATATTCCATTTGTATTGTAATATCGTATCTGATCTTCAACTTCTAGATTTACCTTTTCTCATCCAAATCCTAATTTAATTGTAGAAATGAGGCCCAAACCTCTAAAATGTGTTTTTGCACATTATGCTTGTTGACTTGATGCTGACCAAATGACCATACTATAGTAGTTGGGTCCTCGAATTTATGGCTAGGAAGCACATACAATTCAACTAGGGATGCCATGAAGTGGTCGGATACTTGGACACGTGTAGGACACGGCCCATACACGTGTCAAACACAGCTAGAAGTGTCTTGGACACTTCATATTTTATAAAGAATGTGAATCCGTTTTAATTTAAAATATATTACGGCTTAATTAGAAAAATAATATTTAATTTTAGAAAATAAAAACAAGAAACATCTAACTCTAAGCTCCAAATTAGGATTTCATTCATGATAAAATTGGATTAAATGAACAGAAATTAATTTTTATATATAATAATATTTTTTATTATCAGTTTCTGACGTATTCTTACCGTATCTGTGTCCTATTTTTTTTTTAAATTTTCTGTTTGCCATTTCTGTATCATGTCATATCTGTGTTCCGTGTCCGTTTCCTTGCTTCCTAGATTTTTGGTATAGTTTGCTTAGTGTTTTTTAAGTAAGTGGTCTTTTTTATTTGGACTTGGGTATGCTTGTGACTCTAGATATCAGATATATTATCCTTGAAATTAGGAGACAATCGTATCACCATTATGGCAATCATATTTTGAGTATCAACTCTAGATAATGAAGCTTTATGCAAAATGGTTCCTTACAATGGTTTCTCGCTTTTGATTTGTCAGTTCATTTATGGATTCCTAAATTCATTTATATTGAATTAGCTGTGTTTAGGTAATTTGGGAAGCACTAATATGCAGAAACAGTTGTCTGTCCTGCCCTGTTTGATGGTAGGTATTTGAACATTTTTACTAATGCCTTGGATAATATAAACATCACAGATGTTTCATGTTTCACATGGTTTCCCAGTTGCACAAAGTTCTTGCTGTGCTCTGCTGACAACTTTTCCTCGAAGCCTTTTAGTAGTTTATAGTGCACCTCCCAACACCCCCTCCCATCTCTGGGGAAAAATAAATAAAATAGAAAAAAGGTGGAGTTCTGGCCATAAGGTCATCAATATGCATTGGAACTGATGATGATGATAGATTTAATTGGCTTTAAACTATTTTTGTGAGACTAAACTTCTGTAATTTCTTGCTCTGAGTGGGTGAAAGCTGTTCTTGGTGCAGGACCAACCCTAGCAAGAAGAATCAGGTGAAAGTTCCTAAAAGAATTCACAAGGCTGAGAGGGAGAAAATGAAACGTGAGCAATTGAATGAGCTTTTCCTTGCACTGGCTAATGCTCTCGGTAACTTCTAATGATTTTATTTTGCCTTATTCTCATGTTGCCTTCTTCTTCTTCTTCACCGAATAGTATGTTCACTGAATAGTTTCCCGAATAGCTGTTTGGTTTAGTTTTCAGAGAGCAGCCTCTGTTTTCAAAGGATTGAAATCAGAAAACAGTACAAAAATTTATTTGGTTGACATTTTTATTTTTTGAAAACTCAGTTAAAAAAAAAATGTTTGTTTTCAGAGAATAGTTTTTTTTTTTATAGTTATCTGAAAATAGTTTTTTGTTTTCCAAGTTCTTGTCAGATTACTGAACCAAACAGGTCCATAACTTTTCAGTCAAATTAAATTTGGTTTGCATTTGTAACTGGACAATTGAAAAAGTTTGATACTTAGTATCCTATGTTAATGAATTTCTCATGTAGAACCAACACAACAGAACAGCGGAAAGGCCTCTATATTGAGTGAAGCTACTCGATTCTTGAAGGATATGCTTTCTCAGATTGAGTCTCTCAAACGAGAGAATGCAGCCTTGTTATCTGAATCTCAATATGTAAGTCACTTGACATCCATTTATAACTCTTACCAAATGGCAAAATTGAAAAAATCAACAATGGCTGATGTCTGGCCTCCATATTTATCAATAGATCAAGAATTTTTACATTCTCGCTAGCCAATGGTTTTCGCCATGCTTGTTGAAATAGGCTCTCCTGTTTACACTGTTCATACATATTGTAGGAATTTATTTTTGTTTGGTTCCTTAAACCAGTCTCCTCAGTTATCATCATTTCAAGAAATCTAAATAATTACTTAGTTTGTCCTGTCGATTTATCTTCCTGAAATCAATGGACAGGTGACTGTAGAGAAGGATGAGCTACAAGATGAGAAATCCACTTTAGAAGTTCAGATTGGTAAACTGCAAAGGGAGCTAGAAGAAAGGCTTGCACAGTGTAAACCCGACCTGAATGTAGCACCTCCTGGATATCAGCTACCAGAATTGAACTCACATTTTCCTGTAGAAACTGCATCCCAGCAAGCACCTATCGTAAGTCCCATCTTTGTCATCCCTTTCCGCTCTGATCCCCAATCTTATGTGGAATCTGATGATGCCCAGCATGCATCTAAACCTACCTCAAATGTGAGTAAACCACATGCTAGGTATCCCACAGAGGCTGATTCATGGCCGTCTCAGCTTCTCGGGAAACAGCCAAACTGAGGGTAGGAATTTCAACATACTGGTAGCAAGCAGTAGCAGTAGATTTTAGATGTGGGAACTAGGCCTTGGCAAAATGTACCTTTTGTGACTTGTCATGCTTACTGATCTGTGTGTAGTAGTTCCTAACTCGATTCCGACAGTATTTTGTGGATGTACTGTGTGTTGGTGATGTTGGGCTTCAGCCTGCGGTGGCTGGTAGAAAAATGAACAGAGTATTGATCCTTCATAGCTTGCAGCTCAACAGTGAACAATAGTGTAGGCTTGTCCCCATTGGGAGGTTAACTAGTTCATTACACTCGAAGCATTTTGTGAGTTCTCTTTTATGTGATCTTGTTGAAGCGAAATTATTTCTCATTCATTTTTAGTGGTGTGTTCCTGGTGTAATCTAAAAGTTGAAGCCACAGACTTACATGATACACACTAGCAACAAATTTATTCCACAATTTCCAAAAAACAAATTTATTCCACATACTTGAGGAAGCCATTGATGTGATTTAAGAGAGGAATTTTGCACCAATTCAGAGTATAAGACAGATATTATGTCAGACTAAGGAGTAGATATTCAGTGCACCGTGCACCAAGCTAATCTGAGCCGTGTGTGCACAACACAGGCCGGTGCATGGCATTATGAACAGATCATATTAGCCTAGTGCACGGTGCACCGGGTGCACTAAATATTTATTTGAGATCAAGAGGTATATTTGCATGAGTTTGGATCCTCTGTTGTGGTGTGTTGAAGAGATTTTTAATGCACTTAAATTGTATTTCAACTCATTTATTCATTTATTCTAGATTGTAACAGATGTTCAACACAAGTAATAATGTGCTTTGTGTTTCAACACTAGTTTTGTTGTTAAAAATTTGAATCAATGTATTAACATAATTTAAATATGTTGAAAATCCTTGCAACACGCTATCGCAGGGATCCCCTCTACAATACAATGCAAACGTTCCTAAATTCATAGAGATATAGAATACCGATAAGGTATCATACTTACATATCCATCATTTGAGTCTCCAACAATTATTCCTATCATTACATATCCAATTTGATCTATGGACGAATATGCAAGCATGCTTTTCATGTAGGAATGAGATTCCATAAAGAATGTCATTCGTTTTTTTCTAAAGAATGTCATTCGTTTTTTTAGAAATAAAAAGGAATATTGAAAATTCAAGTGGCTGAAGCTAAATGAGCGATTTTTCTCACTTGAGCAAACATTAATTACACAATAAAATTTTAATTTAATTATTATGTTTTTAAATTAAAGGTTTAATTACACTCACACTCCTTCAGGTTTGTCCTATTTACAGCCATATGAAATTTATCCATTTTTTAAATAATGATACTTCTTCAAGTTTGATAAAGTTAACAAATATGCCCGACACATGGTTAATTGACTTATTGCCCTTTGACCTTTATAAACTATTTTATTGGACCAAATTAACTCTCACATTGCCATTTGACCTTTACAAATTATTTTATTGGACTAAATTAACCCTCACATTCTGTCCCACTCTCTCCTCACAGCCACCCTCATTTTCTTCTTCTCTATCTCCACTGTACCAGGTATACGCAAATTTCACGCACAAAACCACTGACTACCTCTACCACCACCCACCATAGGCACCTCCACCACTGTCCACCCCTTCTTCCACGAAGCCACAATTCATTCTTGTAATGACCCAAACTTGGGAGTCTGGATCGTTAATCGGGTCATACCCGATCAGAAAACACCCAAGGGTAAAATGATCATTATGACCAGTACAATGCATTAGAAGTCGAGATAAAGTCGTAATGGTCACTTCTAATCATTTCGGTTTACGTATAGATGAGAGAATCGACTTCATTCTCAAATCAGTCCACTTAGGGTTCCTAAGGGTAAAATGGTCATTATGGACCATACCATGCATTGGGGACCAACTAACAGTCCTCTAGGCCATTTCTAGTCGTCTCGGTTCATTTATAAGCGAAAGAAACACAATGGTTTTCAAGAAGCCCGTTCTAGGATTAAAAAGGGTAAAATTGTCATTTTCAACCGTCCTACTCGTATCCAGACACGGCCATAGTGATACATCCTAAAGGACATGTAGGGCGCTTGGAGGGGCATAATGGGCTTTTTGCCCCCTTTTTTGACTCTGTTCTTGTCCGTAAGCTAAATTTTAGTCTTCTTTACCATAATACCCCTGTCCCAACTCACAAGTATGCATTGGGCAACATAAATCATCAATTTAAACACTTATATAATCAAACATGCATAAGTATGGAAAATGAAAGCAAGACATCAATTTATAACCTTTGAGTTACATAATTAACATTAAACATAGTCTGCTGCAATAAAGATACATGTTAAACCCTTCCGGTCACAATTACAATGATGTACAAGAATTTACTTCTACTAGGCATTTATTACAAAAATATCAAAAGATGCTCCCGTCAACCCTAATTATACTCCTGAGGTTCTGTCATCAACCACGTCTCTGTCATAACCTGAAAACTATTAATGGAAGGGGTGAGCACGGAGACTCAGTAGAAATTGCCTAAGGTGCCCACTTTAGACTCCCTTAAGCCATGTAACACATAATAGGGATAAAAGAGAATCAAGATCGTACATTAGGGATTTGACCGAATTTAAACCACATTTTAATCCAATCAATGCCATGGATACAACTTTACACACTATGAATGTAAATGCAATGTAATGCATAACCATTCCCAAGCTTGGTCTCAAACCGACCCCAATCCCCACCTACGCTAACTAACTTTATCGAGTTGAGATTGATATTTTCACTAGCCCCTAAACCGACGACCATTTGGGGCCTAGTTTCAACGTTACATATCCTACACCGGATCGTGCTCCCTCTAGGTCAAGTTAGCACTGAGCTCGCGATGCCCGGTCCATTTATAAATTCCTCTTTCCCACCCATTCTAAGATAGCTTACTTTCAGTCTCATTCAACTTCCTTTTCATTCTAAAATGACCCAATGTCTTTCTCATTCAATTTTCCCACTATGTCATGCATATGAATGCATTTGCATCAACTTGATTTCAACATCACATGTATAATAACCGTGTCGTTCTCTAGAAAATGAACACAAGCATAACATTGTCTATACATCAATTACAAGCATGCTTATCATAAATTTCATAACATCACAATCATACTATTTCCACACATCAATCATCTTTACATGTAAGTATTAATGTAAGCTCAATTAGCATGAAATAAAACCTTTTTCATCACATAAAGCATGTTTTAAACACATAATCACATCGTTAACATTTATCTAGCAACAATTTCATGATAATGTATCCAACTTGAATTTAATGGAGGAACAAGATAAAATTTATCAATAAAAGACAAAGTATGGAGCCTTAGGAAAACCCCTACCTCAATGGAGCAAGCTAAACAAGCCCTTAAGCCTAGGCAATTTTTGAAATTCTCTTAGCCCTAGCAATATTGGTCTCAAATTGTAACCCTTGCCAAGCTCATCAACTTCTCCTTTTTGCTTCTCTCATAAATCCTACCCTAAACCCCTCAAAATGGAATTTGAAACATAGAAGATATATATGTGTGTAAATATAGAGAGAGTGAGAAAGGTTAGAGAGAGAGGGGACTTGGCTGAAAAGGAAGAGGAAATGGGGTGTAGGCTTGGTCTTGCAAACACATGAAAGGCTCTCATTGAGCCACTTGTCACTTTGTGGGTGATCTTACCTTTTTGGCAAAGTTACCACAATAACCTCACTTAACAAACTATACTCTTTTCATGTCCCCAAAATATCTACCTCAATGAATAGATATATGCATATGTACATGTGTGTGAAAAGAATACAATGCCCCTAATGTAAATGGCAAAACCGGGAGAAATTCCTGAGCCTGGAAATCGTCTCGACTTCCGAAAATTTTTAAAATCAATCTCGTCGCTTCTAATTGACTTAAAATGTTTAAAATGCACTTCTAAAACCCTCAGCTCAAGAAAATAACCTAAACGGCCCTCGGTGCCTGCATAACACGTAAAACGAAGCACATAAAATAAATAAAATAAAAATCCAAAAACATCCGAGACATTACAATTCTGAATTCCTTCACAAAATTCCATAAACCCAAGGTTTGAAATCAACCCATAAACAATCGATCGTTGCGCAATCAATCTGAATCGATGGGTTACACCAAATGCATATCGTTGCCCCATGTCAATGTCAGAATCGCATCACCACTGCTAGTCGTCAGATAGGACCTCGTCAACATTAGAATCGCATCACTGCCATGCTATCGCTACTGCTAATCAACATTAGAATCACGATGTGGTACTCGCGAGAAATCGACCCTATGTTGCATTCTTCATCCTCGCCGTCCATCTCCTATAAAATGGGTTTGGAATTGAGAAAAAAGAGGAGACTGTGTTTGGGAAGATTCTTTAGAGAGAAATTTTTGTAATGATTATAGGCATTTAATTAATTTAGTTGGTTAGATATTTTATATTAAAAAGTAATTAAATAACAAGGGGGCAATCCATACATTTTACACTCCTTTTTAAGGTAAAAATTGATAGGGGTGTCAATGTCAGAAAATGGCTAAAGTTTCATTTGACTGTCAATAGGATAAACCTCTTAATGTAATTAACCCAAAGTAAAGAATCTAAGGCTATATTAATATCTTTTAATACAAGTCGAAGGGCAACTAAATCATTATATGAATATTCTTTAGGGATTCTATTGATTAGTTGACTTAAGGGGGTGATAAGCATCAACCTTCGGCACATTGAGAATAACTTTTGATGTTCTTCTGGTTATATTAGACATTTTTATTTTTGATAGCATAAATTGAATTGGATTGGATCGGGTTTCACGATGGATCAAATGAACACCTCTAGTTGAAATTGCCTGTCCATTGATTACGATTTTTTCTCAGTATGAACGTATTTATTTTTTCCAGGTCAAGAATATTAGATTAGAAGTTAAAGGTGCAAAGGCTCGAAGTTAGGCTCCCCAAAACAATGAGGAGTGACCTAATTGTTAGGTTACAAAGACATTTGCTTGTGTTGGGGTTATATGCCCTACAAAGCCATTAATGACATTTATTATAGATTTTGATTGATTAATCTTCATATAATATTGATAATATTGGATTAGTTAGATCAGGGGATTTTGATATACGTAGTCCATTAATTATGATAGGATAAATTCATGTGCACAGACGGTATAGGTATGTGCATAGGAGATATGAATTTATCGGTATTTATAATTATAAATATTCATTCTTAATCGAATAGAACTGGACATTCTACTCCGCGAGTATAACCATTATTTTCTAACTCGGTAGAAATACTGATGAGCGCTGAAAAGTGCGTATTTAAACCCCT